TCACTGACTCGCCCGATCCAAGCCAGGAGCCGAGTTATGTGGTTCGAGCGAAGGCTCGTGCCACGTCTCTCCTAGAGCGGAAGGCAATGCGTGAGGCTGGTTTCACAAAGCAGCGACTACTTCCTGATTCTGGCAGTGGATGGATTACGGGTCAGATCTGTTTGAGCCCAATATGATCTCATGGGCCGAATCTCAATTGAACCAATTACCTTTTTTATTTTATTTTTGAAACGACATTTGTATGATTCCATTTCATAATTGTTTTTCGATTTCACCGCGAAGGTTATTTAACATATTATATTACCACTATATAATAAAAATCGGATTAAACCGGTTAGAATATATTGTCACACAAAAAGTTTGAATAATACATAGTACATAGACGCTAAGGAGCCATGCAAAAAACTGCTCCTGCAGTGAAAATGCGTTTCCTTGACGACTCACACCAAAAGGTACAAAGCTTTCCTGTACTTTGTATTATCTGCCTTCTTCGTTTCGGCAGCTCTAAGACAAGCCTCTGCTTTCGGCAGCTTTAGGGAAATTGGGACGTTGGTTCGGTCCGAGAGGTCGGGTTCAAGCTGGGTTTTCACTGACTCGCCCGATCCAAGCCAGGAGCCGAGTTATGTGGTTCGAGCGAAGGCTCGTGCCACGTCTCTCCTAGAGCGGAAGGCAATGCGTGAGGCTGGTTTCACAAAGCAGCGACTACTTCCTGATTCTGGCAGTGGATGGATTACGGGTCAGATCTGTTTGAGCCCAATATGATCTCATGGGCCGAATCTCAATTGAACCAATTACCTTTTTTATTTTATTTTTGAAACGACATTTGTATGATTCCATTTCATAATTGTTTTTCGATTTCACCGCGAAGGTTATTTAACATATTATATTACCACTATATAATAAAAATCGGATTAAACCGGTTAGAATATATTGTCACACAAAAAGTTTGAATAATACATAGTACATAGACGCTAAGGAGCCATGCAAAAAACTGCTCCTGCAGTGAAAATGCGTTTCCTTGACGACTCACACCAAAAGGTACAAAGCTTTCCTGTACTTTGTATTATCTGCCTTCTTCGTTTCGGCAGCTCTAAGACAAGCCTCTGCTACAAGAAATGTGATCCTGCAAATTACAAATAATCGAATTGGTTTAGTTTTGGTTTTCCATAGGAGCCTATGAACTTGAAATCAATACACTCGACGATAGTTCGCTGCTTAAACATCACAACTCAACCCAAACTTTTCCTTTAAAGTGATTTTTGAAACTAAGAACATGATTATTGAACAGCTTGTGAGGAGTTTTAAAGAAAAAGAAAAAAAAAATAACATGGCGAGACTGCAAAGGAGAGTTTGACTCAGCTTCGTCTTAGCAATTTCAAAAGCCTTAGGCAAAATATAAAATATAAATATTTTTATATTATATTAATAAAAAGTAATTGTATCAATCAAAATAAATCAAACTATAATTTTTTGATTTTTAAAATATAAAATAAGTTACTAGTTTGTTAAAAAAAATATATATATACATAACTATTTTGTATAATATTTTTTTGACATAATACTTCATCCAAGTGCATTATTTCTGTAAATTGCATAAAAAATCATCAAATATAAAAAAATACAAAAAATAATTCTTTTTAGAAAAATAAAAAATCATATATATCTTTTTTTCCTAACTTTATTGATCTAAAATTATTGATAATTGTTTCAAAATTTATAGATATTAAAACTTCCTATTCAATGCATAAAAGTACAAGACCATTCAATATTTATTAAAACATTGATCTGATCTTGAAATTCTTTGTACTTTCAAATAATTGAGATGGTTGTTTGTCTTGTTAACAAAGAAAACAATTAAGGTATAATTCTTTTTGTATAAGTAGGTTTTGACGTTATTAATAACTGAATAAATGATGAGCCTTTTTATGTATTAAAAATTAATTATATATTCATAACTGTCTTCAAGAATATATTTTTAACAAATTTTATAATGTATTAAAAAATTGGGCCCTTAAATTATATGTATAATTTCTTTTAGATCATAATTCTTTTTTTATTTAATGGACCATGAGCTTTATTATGTACTATAAATTAGTTATATTTTTCTTCATGTGAACATATTATAACAAAGTTTTTAATATATTAAAAAAAAAAAGTTGGACTCTTAAATTTTTGGACCCATAGCCATTACCTCTCCCGTCATGCCTCAGAGCCGGAGCTGAGTCGACTCTCTGCAGAAAGTCTGTAGAGACGTTTTTTCCGTGCCGAAAGATAATTGGTCAATTTTTTTAAATAGTTTTTCTAAAAAAATTTTTTTTTACTAATAAAAGATTTTAAAAAACCTCTCTCCCAGCTCTGCAATATTCGTGCTCTAAGAACTCATCAATTTCAACAGGGTACCATAGTGCAAGTCACCTAGAGGAGATGAAATAGATTATCGACTAAAGCACTTAATTCAGTTCGTACTGATACAAATATTTCTTTTAATTTTAATGATTCTGCTATATTGTTTGATCTTTGCTTTGACAACTATTATTTAATCTACTAAAATAATATCATTTAAACTTTATTAAACTAATGTCAAATAATAAATAGAGGCTTATTAAATTGGAAATCAAATTAGTCAATTTTCGCTTGACCATTAAAAGAAAAAAATCCAAGAAACATAGTATTTTTTAATAAAAAAGGACAAGACGTATTCATTGTTAGGAAAGAAGCATGTAGATAAATGTAGACACGAAACTTTGTAATTGTAACGTTGTTATGTCCGTAGCTAGCTGTTCATGAACAAAATGCCAATCTTAATGTTTTTTCCCTCTTAAATATATTATTTCCAAAATACACCGAATATTTATTTTCTAGTTTCCTAAATTATTGATATAAAAATTACATCTCGAACCAAAAAAAAAAAAAAGGTAAAGTAGCCGCCTCATCTTCCTCGTCTAGCCTCGTTGGCTTCTCTCTATGGGGAGCCCGATTTAAGGTTTTCTTCGATTTATTTTATCAGTTCACCATCGCCACAAAGCTCTAGACTCTTTCGGTAATCCATCTTCTTCGTCTCTGCTATTTCTCACTCTGTCGGTTTTAGGGTTTTTCTGCACATTGGGGTTCGTTGATCTCTTCCTGTTGTATGGTTTCGTATTGATCTATAATCTGGTTTGGGTTTGTTTTTCTCCTCTTGATAGGTGAATCGAGTAGAGAAATTTGGAAACATTTCTATGCTGTAACAAGCTCTTGTTTTTGTGGAAAAAAAAATCAAACCTTTTTCCGATTCAACTCGCTCTTCCTTATTTGTTATCAACTCTATTATATTCATGGTGCTTTGTCTTGTGAGAAATCGATTAAATTTCCAATTTCCTCGGCCGATTAGTTAATTTTCTAAGAGAATGAGTTTTGGTTTCTCGTGATAGTTGTTTTGTAGAATCCTGTTTGCTTTTTTTTTTGTACGAAGTTACTCCATACAACATGTGATTGATGCTGTTTATCTAGATCTATTCGCCATCTTGATTATGTATTTAAGATTCATGCCTTTGCTGATTAGAAGTTGATCTATGTGCAGGTTTGGTTTGCGTTGTCATCTAAGGAGCTCAAGAAGACTATTGTTATCTCTTTTCTTCTAAGTTTATTATGCCTAAAGAGAGGAAAGACCGATCTGTATCTCATGAAAGGTTTAGAGGAACGTCACTGTATTGTGAGTCAAGCCGTGCTCTGAAGCCGAGTGACAAACAAGTTAAGGAATGGGAAGAAGCTCGTTGTCCTGTCTGTATGGAACATCCTCACAACGGGATCCTCCTCGTCTGTTCCTCCTACGAAAACGGCTGCAGACCGTACATGTGTGACACTAGCCACCGGCATTCAAACTGTTTCGACCAGTTCCGTAAAGCTTCCAAGCAGGCATCGACTCTGCAATTACCTCACGAGGAAGAGGAGAGTAATGTAGCAACTGAGACAACACTAGGTGTAGCTTCAGACTCGAGCGCTGTAAATCTAAGAGAAGAGGCTGCATCTGAGTTAACAGTCGAAGGCATTGTAGCAACGGAGGAAGACGATGAAGAGAAGGCCAAACCGAAGCTTACTTGCCCGTTATGCCGTGGGCATATAAAAGAATGGGTAGTTGTTGACGCTGCTCGAGGTTTCATGAACTCGAAACGTAGAAGCTGTTCTTCCGAGACTTGTGATTTCAGTGGAACCTATTCTGATCTGAGAAAGCACGCGAGGCTTCAGCATCCAGGAGTGAGGCCATCAGAAGCAGATCCTGAGAGACAGAGAAGCTGGAGGAGGCTGGAGAGGCAGAGGGATCTAGGGGATTTGCTCAGCACGCTCCAGTCTTCTTTTGGAGGAGATGAGAGAAGTAACGAAGATGGAATCCTTTCGTTCGATGAAGGTGGTTGGCTTACAGTGTTCTTCCTCATCCGCGTGTTTAGACCAGAGTCTAGTGGCTCGAGGAGTAGTAGCTGGTCTGGTACATCTAGAGCTAGGTCACAGGTAGGTGGGAGAAGAAGGTCAAGGCTTTGGGGAGAGAGCTATGAAGGTGAGACGGGAGCATCATCTAGAGATGAAGGGAATGTTCAGTCTTCTGATGAACAAGAGTCTGGATCTCGAAGACGCCGAGTTAGAAGAAGAGCTTTCATTAACGACGACGATGATGATGAAGAAGAGCCGTGATGCCTCTCAAAATCTACAGTTTGGAAAACTTGGTATTTTCGAGTATTTAAGGAAAAAAAGAAAATGGGGGAGACTTTGTAGTAATAACTCCACTTGTGATGATACCTTTATTCTGTAAAATTTCTTTGGAGGTTTAAAAAAAGTTTCTATTGAGGAACCAGAATGTTCAATAATTTATACTGTTTTCCAAAATCTTTCTTATAATATGACTCTTGAACAAAGAAAATGTAGTTATCTCTTCATCAAACCAAAAAAGAAAAGACGAAAGGAATTGTTAATTAACGCTTTCTCATAGACGATTATCTCTGCAGCTTTACAACATTAATAAAAGAGCTTTAAGCAGAAGCTGCTGGCTCTGAAGCAGCTGCTGCAGCAGCTCTCTTCTTGGCAAAGTATTCATCTGCTCTTGCGAGGTTCTTTGCAACCGATGGCTTAACCCATTTCTTTCTTCCAGGCAACACAGTGAGTGTACAACCTGAAGCTTCAAGCTTCTCTTTTGCTGCTGTTGAGAAGGCGCGAGCTTTGAAGGTGAGCTTCACGCTTAGTTCTCCGGTTCCCAGAATCTGAAAACCCAATACCAATCAAAGCGTTTTTAAGTAGAGAAAAAGATGAATGCATTTGATCGAAGTTTGCTTTTCAAGGGTTGCTAACTAACCTTAAGAGGGAGTTTCCTTTCCCTTCCTGAAGGATTGATCAAGCCCTTTTGCTTCAGCGTCTCCAGTGACACTTCATCTCCATCCTCGAATCCAGCTGTTTCGATGTCTTTGAGATTCACGGGTACGTACTTGGGTAACCCTGAACGCATACCTGTTCAAAGAACACAGCAACGATAAGGATGCATGTCAGGAAACAAAATGAGGAACACGGATCAAGGAAGGACCTTTCTCACAACGTGACTCGCAAAGATGAGAGAGAGACACCATGAAACACAAAACTTTATTCAGTAAAATAAAACAATGTAACATTTTCTATTCATTAACTCTACAATCTTGATCCTTTTGGTTTTCTAATCCTTGCCTTAAGGCACCATGATTCTCTAACCTTAGACGAATGCAGTTGCAATTAATCATCACTGAATAAAACAGAGACTCTGTGTGAGACATTCCATCGAACAGTTGGCCTACACAAAACAAACCCTAAAGAAATTTTTACCTCCGGCGATTCCTCTAAGCTTGGGAAGACGGCGATAGAGAGCGGTTTGTCCACCTTCGAAACCTCTCATGATACCAGGACCCGATCGTGATTTCTGTCCTCTCATCCCGAAACCACAACTCGCTCCTTGCCCTGCAGATATACCTCTACCTTTTCTCTTCGCATTCTTTCTCGAACCAGGCTGAGGTCCGAGATTGTTCAATCGGAATCTCTCCGGAGCTACTGCTGCTTCCGACGACGATGCCGTAGCAGCAGTTTGGTTCGACACAACAAGGGGTCTCGCAAACTGCTGTGGCTTTCCAGTTTTACGCTTGGAGTGGAGTTTCAGAGATAGAATCTGACATGGGTTTGCTCCCAATACGCTTACATTTCCCTGAGACATTTCAAAATTTTCGGATTGCTCAATTTCTCGGATTTAGCAGCGAGTGTGTGTGACAATATATAAACATTCGTAGACGAAACACAAAAAAAAGAGAGTGAGAAATACCTTAAATGAAGTTGAAGGGAAGTAGAGACGGTGACAATGGCGGGAGATGAGAGGATTTGATGAGAGCGAGAGAGGAACAGCCATGGAGGGCACAGTAGATGAAAAAGCTCCAAGGATAAGGATGACGATAGATAGATTGATAATAAACTTTCATGAGAGAAACTCAAAATTAAACGACGGCGTTTTCGCGCTGTCAACTAATTGTTTACTGGGCCTTTCAGAGAAAACGTTGCCCGTTTTGAGATTTGATCCATACAGATATCTCAAAATAGGGGGGAATTTAAATTAGAATTTTGGTTATATTTTGGATTTGGTTCGCTTATATTTTTTACTCATGCTAAATGTTTATATATATAAACACATACATATTTAATTTATATTTACACATACAGACATACCAGTACAATAAAAAGTTCAGCAATAAACCAAGCTAGAACAATCATACATTTTTACATAATCACAAGATTCACAACCGCAAACAAAAATTATATATGTACTTTAAGTATTTCGCACCATCATTAATTTTTGCGAAATCCTTTACTCACGACGAGGAGAGAACAGTTTGTATTGTGTAAACACCTGCAATCATTTAAAAGAAGTTTGTCAACTCGAATTTTTATTATTAAATAGTTCATCGTTTAAAAAGTTGAATTCTGTATGATTTTTCTTACTTTTTGAGATTTCGGGTTTGGTGATCACTCATAGCTAACAAATCGATCTTTCGCTCTTGAATTATCTTGCGGATTGGATCTTTCGGGTCTCCGGCATCAGTAAATGTCTCCGCTTTAAACTGTTTTCAACATGATTATGATGAGACTAAACATGTCCACAAAATGACAATAATTTTGCACAAATGAACCCATAAATATGATTTGTTCAAGAGATTACCCCATGATTTCCACATATCTTCTTGGCTTTCTCTAAAATACCCAAAGCAATCTTCATATTCTTTTCTTGAGCCAGTCTTATGAGTTCTGCTTCTGCAAAACATACAAGAACACACATAAGAAAAAAAGAGAAAACACACATAGTTTTTTAATAAAAAAAAAAAGATGAAGAACTTGGTCGATAAAACGACTTAACTGGGTGAAAACGGATTGAAAATTTGAGCAAAGCCCACTGATGAAGAAAGTACGATAGGTGGGGTAAAGTAATTTTGTGGCTGTTGTGCAAAGATCAAAACTTTGGAGCTCTCAATGGTATCTTTTAGATTTTCAAGGACCCAAATGAGTAAATCATAACTTGAGTTGCTCTCGTCAATAATCACCATAACATTCTTCATCTTTCTTGTGCTTCTTCAAGTTTCTGTTACAATAAAAAAAAACTCTTGTGAATGTGCGTATTTATAAATATATTTTTGGTAAAAGGAACATGTCTAAGAAAGTAATTAGGCGATTGGGTAACTGAAAGGACTGGTTCAACAACTTGATTCTTTCTTTGTTTCATCTATAAGAAAAATACACACAAATAATATTGAATTATTGAGAGATCGAATAATATGATTTCACTCAACAGGAAAAATGTGTAGGATAATCAATAACTTATAACTAATTATCACCGATTCATTCTTAAAATGTTTTTGAGTGGATTGGGTTTGGTAATTGCCGGATACACGCAAGTGATGATGTAAGAATACTATTTCGTTTGTCGGAATTTTAAGCAAATGTATATATTATTAGAGTTGGCAAAAGAAAAAAAAATAGAAACCCGAAGGACTCAATTAGCTAAACGAACTTTTAAATCGATGATAAGTTGGAAAAACATAGACTAATTTGTCAAAAAAATCTGTTGTATATTGGTTCGAGATAAAGACCCCAAAATATGTAAATACCCAGAAAAAGACATAATTAATCACTAGTAGCTTGATTTAATAACTCGATTCGCAAAATGATTTATATTTTGGTTGTTGTCAACGCAAGTTAATATTTAATTGGAAACTTGAATTTGACAAAAACAAGTTAAACAACCTAAGAAAAGGTTTTAGTGGGTCCTATCTGTTGGGTGGGGGGGGGGGGGGGGGGGGGGGGGGGGCTTTCCCCATTGGGCTTTCATTGTAAGCAATTTTAAGGCCCATTGTATGAAATAATCACTGAAAGCATATAATTCCATAAGCCCAATAAAGCCGATTAGTACTAATACTCCGGATGTATTTTTTCTCGGATGTATTTAAGTCATAATAACCGCATATTGGACTTTTATTTGAAAAGTTTTTTACAAAAACTGTTTCTCCCATATTTCTGCCAAAAATAAACCACACACTGTTATAGACAAAGCATATGTATTGTTTTCCCGCAATTTTCACTTATTCACAATATACTATATTATTAACCCTTTAATACTAGAGTAGGATTTATATAGAGTTGTGATGATTTTTAAAATTGAGAGATTTGTTAAATTTGTAAAGAATTTGTTTGATTTAAATAGAGTTATGAATATTTAAAAATTTTATTAAAATTTTTTATTATAATAATTTTAAGAATCTAAATCTAAAGTATATCGATAGTTATTTGAAAGTTTTGTTTAATGAGTTTAAATTATTAACAATCTTTGTTCCAATAACAAAGATTTTAATAGATAGATAGAATCATTAAAAACTAAACTTTTTGAATAACAATAGATTTTGTATAGAATTTGAAATTTTTTATACCAATAACAATGAATTTTAGTAAAAATATTCAAATCTATCTATCAATAACAATGCATTCTTAAAATTTTAACATACCATTACAAATCATTCTACCAATAATTCCCCCTAAAAATATATCCAAATAAGCACCAGAGAATAACTTGTAAGCACGCACTACTAATACACGTCAAATTAAAATTAATTGTACTCATTAATCCAACGGCTGCGATAAATTGTTTGACTTATAGATGCACAGTATACTCCATACTCCTTACCACAGCTAATCATTGTATCTACTCAATTTAAAACCCCCTCTCAAATTGAGCTCCCCCATACAGTTTCAGTAAATCGCAAAAAGAGAGAGAGAGAGAGATGGAAACGGCGTCGCTTAACCCTTCTTCTCCGGCCACTCTTCCGTCGTTTCTCCTCCTCTTCCTCGCCGTATACCTCGTCGGATATTTCCTAATTTTCCGCTCATGGAAATCACCCCATTTAGGCGCCAGCTGCTTAATGTCTCTATTCCACGGCACTCCCGCCGTCGTAATGGCATCCCACGCGCTGCTGACAACTCCACGCGGCGCCGCAACAGTGCCGCACTCCTTCGCCTCTCCCAACACCGCCGTTGAATCCGCCGTCCTCGATTTCAGCATGGGTTACTTCACGATCGATCTCCTCCACTACCTAATCTTCCTCCCGAACGATTTCCTCTTCATCATCCACCACATCGCGACGCTTTACGTCTTCGCCACGTGTCGATTCGCCGTCGGTCACGGAGCTCACGCGCTTCTCCTCCTCTTGGTCCTCGCGGAAGCGACGAGCGCGTGCCAGAACGCGTGGACGATCGCTGGGTATCGGAAAAATGAAGTCGTTTTGGCGAGGAGGGTGAGAGAGCTACTGTCTCCGCCTTTCTACTTGTTCTACACTGTCGTTCGTGGATTGGCTGGTCCGGTGGCTCTGTACGATATGGCGGCGTTTTACGGTAGTGGAGCGGCGGACGGGGCTATTCCACGGTGGGCTTGGATATCGTGGCTCGTTGTCATTGGCTCTGCTATTTTGCTTAGTGTTTTGTGGGTTTTACGAAATTGGGTTGATTGGTTTAGAGAGAAAAACAGTGGCAAGAAATTCAAATGAAATGATTACACTCATCTTTTTCTAAAAAAGAAAGAAATTATTTGATTGATATTTTGATAGTTAAAAGTGGAGAAGTGTTTATATATAGCTACATATTTATTTGATTGTATTTGTGTCAATTATGTATATTAACAATGTTGAGTTCGCTGGATGCTTAGCTTCGAGTTTGGTTTGCTTATTGAAGGTGAAGTGTTTAGGTAATGGGTTCTCTTGTTTCTCAGCGAGCTGCAACGTTAATCATGGTTCTAAGTATGGTAAAGTTTGTGGTTAGTGTCACTGCAGATTTTAGCTTTTGCACTCTGTTTTCTTTTGTTTTTGTCTTCATTGCTCCTATAGTTGGTTTATATTTTAAAGTCTTTGTGTGTAAGTCAATGTATTTCAAAAATGTATTTCACCTTTGTATTCTCGTTGATCTATTAGTATTATCAGATGACAAAAAAAAAACAATGTTTTGTACTTTTATTATGAAACTAAATCCTATTGTTATTTGTAGTGTCATTTTGTTTTTGGAATCGAATTGTATATGTGATTAATAAGTTGATTCCTATGTATATGTGAATATTGTTTCTTTTCGCGAGAAGAAGTTTGTCTGATTGGCAGTGTTCATAAAGTATAGAAGTATATTTTACTGTATCTGTGTAAATATATTGTTTTATGTAAATCTAAAATATATCGTTAATTGTTATTGTAATTTTTGTTTTGAATCAATGTTGATCATGTGAATCTTATGTAAGAATACTTGTCAACTCTTTATTCACATTTCCACAAAAAGGAATATTTTGTTTTGACCTTTTGTTAAAAAAGGTTAGCATCCTGTTTGGCCAAAAAGTTGCCTGACTCACGGTTATATATTAACAATTTAGAAATGTCACGCCACAGTTTTTTTGGTGGTCGTGGGATAATTTGGATGACTCACACCTTTGATTATTTCCAGTAATTCAATTTTCTCTTATTTGCGAATTACTCCTATATTCAAATGTTTAATTAAGTGGGAGTTGACCCGAAAAATAATTTAGTAGAGGATTGGATAATGTATATCCTTTTCGTTGACAAAAGTATTTTAATTTATTTCATACCAAGTCTGCTTACATGTTTTATTTCTTATAAAGAGACATGTTATCGATAATACTGTGCCACTGTGGGAGGAACTAATTCGTCAGAAAAAAAAAATCCAAATAGATTACTAACTTAAATTAGTCAAGAAAATTCTGAATGACATTTCTGATGCTATGTTTTTATGACTTGTAATTTTGGGAAACAAATATACATCACATTTGTAAAATAATCTCTCTCATTTTATATCGACCAATTCAATTATTAAACACAATTTTAGTTACCTTTTCATCACACTTAAAGGCCTATCTCAATCTTTTAGATCGACCAACAATATAATTATACAAAATTTATTTACACTTAAAGGTTATCCAGCAAACTGCTCAATATTTTTATTCTATTTTTGAAATTATCAATAAATAATTATACCAAAAGAATAACAAAACTAGAAGGGATTTAAACCAAGAAGTGAAGCTTGATCATCAAACTCATAATCAGAATCAAACCACTGCATTTCCTGAGTCAATTCTTCAATCATCAAATAAATCTCTTGACAAAGAGGATGCGATCTATCTTCAGCATTAAAGGCATAAACTTTATCTCCAACCTCAATCCAGCTCCAACCTGGAACTTTCTTCACACCTCTCTCCTTCATCATCTTCTTCACATCAGCTTTCTCTTTCCATTTCTTGAGATCACTATACATATGAGACAACACAACATACGTAAAATGATCCTCTGGTTCGGTCTCAAGCAAATGGTTAGCCACTTGAGTAGCCATCTCTATCTCTCCACAATCCCTGCAAGCTCCAAGGAAAGTTTTCAACACCATTGGATCAGGTTTCACCGGCATTGATTCGATTACCTCTTTCGCTTTGTTCACAAGCCCTGCTCTGCCTAGGAGATCAACTGCAGCTGCGTAATGTTCCATTCGAGGTTTGATTTTATAAACCGGTTCCATCGAGTTAAGCAACTCGAGCCCCTCTTGTACTAAACCGGTGTGGCTACAAGCAGTCAGAACCGCAGTGAAGGTTACGTGGTCTAGTTTCACGTTTTGGCTACACATTTGAGAGAAGAGATCAAGAGAGGCTTGCCCTGAACCGTGTTGAGCGTACCCGAGGATCATTGTGTTCCAAGCTACTGTACTGTGTTTTGAGGTAGTCTGCTCGAAGCATTTCCTCGCGTTCTCGACTACTCCACATTTTGAGTACATCAAGATTAGAGAACTGGTCACAAACTCGTTTGATTCGAAGCTTGATTTAGTGGCGAGAGCGTGAATCTGCTGACCTAATTGATGTGTTGCTAGGTCCGAGCATGATCTAAGTACTGCAGAGAAGGCGTAATCGTCGACTTCTATGTTTGAAGATCTTAAGCAGCTAAAGAACTTCACCGCATCCTCGCTGAGACCCTTCTGTGATAAACCTGTCATGATTGAATTCCAAGAGACAGTATCTTTAGATTCCAAGGATTCAAACAGAGAGAGAGCTTCTCTCATGGCGCTTGTAGGAAACTGAATGTACATAGAGATCAATGCGTTCGAGGCTGAAGTTACTTGCTCAAGTCCCTTCTTTATAACCAAACAATGCAACGACTTTCCAAAGATTCGATGTTCTTCTCCAGAGCAACAGCTTAAGACGCTGGTGTAAGTATAAACGTCGGTCTCAATCCAAATCCTCTGCATTTCAATAAACAGTTCAAAAGCAGATTCCTTTTGCTCATGTTTAGAGAAACCAGCGATCATCGCGTTCCATGAAATCAAATCTTTTGATCCACACAAGCCATCAAAAACCCTCTTCGCATCTGATACAGAACCACAATCTGCGTAAGAGGTGATCATCGCATTGCAGACAGTAATCTCGTTTTCAAGCCCCAGTTTCAAAACCTTACCATGAACTTGCCTTGACAAGTCGTAAAACATCGGATCATCAAGCAGAGTAAGAAGTGGAGCAAAAGTCCCATCGTCCATCGTCATCTCCATAGAACCCAGCAACCAAAAAGCAGTCTTGATATCACGCACCTTCACAAATCCAGCGATCAGAGCATTCCATGAAACAGAGTTAGGCTCTGAAACCTCCTGAAAAGCCTCGAAAGCATCGTCGACACTTTCACATTTCGCGTACATATCAACAAGCGAGCTTCCAACATACACGTTACACTCGTAACCTCCCTTCACAACCAGAGAATGCAATCGCTGCCCAAGATCTACCCTTTTTGCAGAAGCAATCCCTTTCAATAGTCTACTAAAACTATACCCATCAACATCACATTCAGATCTTCTCATGCATGTAAACAAACTCCACGCACTCTCCAATTTCTCGCGGCTTGTGTACCCAGAGATCATAGTGTTCCAAGACACGGAGTCTCTTTTAGGCATTTCATCGAACACCTTATGTGCACAACCAAGGAAGCCAAGTTTCATATAAGAATCTATAACTCTGTTTGATACGTAAACATCTGAGACGAAACCACATTTGATGGCGTAACAGTGAGTGACGGAAAGCTTGTGGAAGGAGCAGAAAGTGTTCTCTAGTAGAGAAGCCAAAAACGCTTTCATTCATCTGTCTTCTCTATTTAATTTAACTTATAACGAAACTCATATAATTTTGCTAATATATCCCAATTTTAGTAAAAATCATTTCTATTTTCATTTTGGATCTGATAAAATAATAAAAATTAACAAGTAGCCGTTGTAAGCGCATTTACACAGAAGACTAGCCGTTACGCTTTCCTTTTATCTTCTTTTCTCTTTTTATTCTTCAAATCATCAAAAACCCTAGCAAACCGCTCGAGCTCTTCTGAATTTTTTTACTTTGCTTCGAATAATCAAAAACTTCTCAAATCACAGATCCTTGGGTTCTTGTTTCGTTTTCCATACTTGCTCCATTTTGATTCTTCATCTCAATCGCTTTCCCATGGCGTCCAAAACCGCGGCTGCTAAAGATATCATCACTCTTCACGGATCTGCTGCAATCGTCAGCGAGTTTTTCTGTGCGTATTTCCCCGATTTCTCATACTCAATTTCTTAATTTCCTCCTCGACTGATGCTTATTCTTACTCTTCTTCTTCTTCTTCTTCTTCTTCTTATTACAGGTTACGCCGCGAACAGGTGAGGAGTTGATCGGGAAAATCCGATTTCAATTTCACTTTTTTTTTTTGGGGGGATTTTCGATTCTATGGAAACTTCAGTGAAATTGAATCGTTTTTGGGTGTAGTATTCTGTATAATCGTGCAGTTTATCCAGAAGAAAGTTTTGTGAAAGTGAAGAAATATGGACTTCCGATGTTGCTTATCGAAGACGAATCCGTCAAATCATTTCTGTCGAATCTCACTTCTCAGATTGCCGGTAAATTTCATAGACACAGATTGAGATATGAGTTTTTGTTTTTGAGAGACTTGAGACTATTTTTTCTTCTGGGTGGTTTGTTCAAAAGAATGGCTTGAAGCTGGGAAGTTGCAGAGAGTAGTGTTAGTGATAATGAGCAAAGCGACTGGTGAAGTCTTGGAGAGGTGGAATTTTCGGATTGAGACTGATAATGAAGTTGTTGAGAAAGGGTGAGTTTCTGTGTAAACTTTGAAATGTTGATCACTTTTCACAAATTTCGTTTTTTCTTGGATTTGGTCGTCACCATTGTTCTTCTTCTTTCAGTGTGTCGAGAGAGAAGAGTGACAAGGAGATCATGAGGGAGATCCAAGCTATCATGAGGCAGGTTGCTTCCAGCATAACTTACTTGCCTTGTCTTGATGAAGCATGTAAGAACCAGAATCACAGAAACTCAAGGAACTTGAATACTAATTTGGTTTCTCTTTTGAATTGAATGTTACTCTCATTGTTTTGTTTAGGTGTTTTTGATGTATTGGCATATACGGACGCGGATGTTGCTGTTCCATTCACCTGGATCGAAAGCGATCCAAAGTTGATTGCTAATCCACAGATGGTGAAGCTACACGCTTTTGATACCAAGGTACGAAGAACCTTTGACCTCTCTACTACAATCACTTTGAAATGTGTCTTAACCGAAATTCATCGTTTCTCTGCAGATTCACAAAGTCGACACCCTCGTCTCATACAAGAACGACGAATGGGATGAAGAAGAGTAACCAACCAAAAGCCTCTCTTTCAGCTCGCGTTTTCCTCGTCTTCTCATGTGTCTTGAAAGTCTAGTGAATCCTTTATTCACACCACCCTATGTCGTTCTCTCTTTTGTTCCTTCTGAATTTGTATGACAAATCTTTGTACCTGTGTTGTGTGTTTATTCAAAAGTTATCAGCTTTTTTAATTGTCTCTGTCCCTTGCATTCACCATTTCGTTTTACCAACCAAACTGTTATTGGATACAAAATAACAATCCAAAGATGAACTGTACAAAGGGAAAATAGAAATTGATATGTACAAAGGGAACCTAACTGTCAAAATAACAATCCGAAGATGGAGGATGTAAAAAGAAAAACATATTTACAGTGACTCTGCAGAAACTCGTTTTTACTCATCTCGTTCCTCGGTACAAGACACCAGGTTGAAGATCATCCATATTGTCCAAGTTCCTAAACCCGTCAAACTCTCTCAGACATGTCCATCCTCGTCGAGCCAAGAAATCTCTGTAATCTTCTTCCGTGTAGAATACCTTCTCCTCTTGATGCACTGGTAACGGATCAGATTCATCGTAGTGACACACTCTAACTGCGATTCCTGCATTTTCGATTTGGATGCTCAGATTTCCTCAAACCAGAGATCATATTCGATGGACACAGCAGAGAGAAGCAAGAGAGCTTACCTTCATCGACATGGAGTGTGTAGTTCCCTAGAGGCATGTCTCTGTCAAGAGAGCGAACGACCTGTTCTTCGTCTTCTAGCCAAAAAGCTCGTCTTGTTCTTAGTCTAAACGCTGATCTGATGGCTTCCTTGATCGCTTCAGCTGTACCATCAATCCCTACTCTTCTTGTATAGTCTCCAAACTTCACTGTTATGATCTTCCCCACAAACGGCTGATCAACACTGCCTGCTGTATATAATACGAAACCCGAAACAATAATGAGTCGAACATAAAGTGATTGAAACACAGAAACTCTTTGCAATTGCTCCAGTTACTTGCCATTTCCAGGGGTTTCTCTCCAATTCCAAGGAGGAACACCATTAGCTGTGACGGCATCAGCAGAAGCAATGGTTAGAGGATGACCATCATGATCCAACTGTCTTTCAAGATTTAGCGTTGGCCTGCCATTAGCTGGACACATGATACAACACTCATATTAAGGACTAAACAACTTCCACAAAGCTCTGATATAACGATTCCTCTCGTGTGTTCATTCTTCAAATAACTTCAAAGTACTCAAAAAGCTGGTAAATGTGAGATCAATACCTTCAACAGATGCAAAGGAAATGCCTGTATCTTCAAAAGCTACATGAAAGATACACACATGTATCAGATTTACTATAAAAGACCAACATTTCTCATCAAATCTACTGACTTTACGATTTAGCTATTAATGGTCAAAATCTTTTTTAGATAGCACAAAAAAGGGTAAACACAAATTGAAACCAAAAGACCAAACCAATCTCTTCTTCTCAGTCTAACAACTACCATCAAGAAAACAAGCAAAGCCTTTTTTTCACCTTTATCTGTAAACTGCATAAAGGAATCAACTTTAGCAACAGAAGGTGGTGTAGCAGGGCTCTTGTACAGTGACGCTTTCTTGTTCCGCTCTCTAAGAATATCATCAATCTCTTTGTAATACGACATCTTGGCTGATCCTGAGCCACTCCCTTTATCTTGATGCTTAGCTTTCTTAAACTCTTTCAGCATGTTCCTCCACTTATCGGTGCACATAGTCGGCGATCGATCGAAGCCTTTCTCTCGCATCTTGCTCGAAATCTGTTCCCAGAGATGTTTGTTAGATTTCGATGTGTTGAAAAGACGGTCCATTTCTCTGCGTAACGTGATTAAGATCCGAGTTTCGTCCTGTACCCATGTCTCTGCTCGCTTCTTGGGGGCTTTGATCTCGTGATCCTCGCTGCTACTGTCTCCGAGCCCGAGGATTATCGGGTGATGATGTTGCTGCGGCGGTTGTTGTAGATCTCCGTTTGATGTAACGTCGATCATCATGTTTATGTCCCGTGATGTTGGAGATGGATTGTTATCGTCTTTGTAGAAATCAATCGGAGAACGAGGCTTATCGGAAACGAACATCTTTCTGTTTTATTTTGCTCCTCTCTGCAACTCCAAGGAGGAAGAAGAAGATAGAGAAGATGCAGAAGAGATAGATATACATACTTCCTTTTTTTTCAACCATTGGCGCGTGAATTTAACGCACTTTACTTGGAGCGCGTAAACTATCCCAGCTCTTAAACTCAAATCAAAGCTTATCTTCTTAATTTGTTTATTATAGTGTGTATACACAAAGTTACAAATTTTAAAAAATGCCAATTTACTATGTTTTGGATTTGCAATGGCTATATTTTTTAAACAATGGTTAGTAACCAAAATCACCCTGATTAAAAAAAGACACATAAAAATGTGACTTTTAAAAAAAAAAATATAACATCGTCCATATAAAAATAGATTTAAATTTAAAATGAGTCCAAAACCAATACAAAATCAATTACTCAATTTAATTATATTTTATTTTTCATGTTTTTTTATTTTTTCATTGTGTAGTCAACTAAAAAATGTTAATAGGGTCATAAACATTACAAAAAAAAAAAAAAAAAACATACAATATTCTTTAAGCAGGTGGGATCAGAGCTGATCCCTTCCCCACCTAGAGAGGTAACTTAGGAGAAGGCTTCGAACAATCAGAACACAGAAACTCGAGACAAAAGGTTTCCTCGTACTCGCTGTCATTGATGCAGCGACCACACTGAAAACACCTCTGTATGCAGAGTGAACAAGCCCGACACTCCTCTGAACCTTCCTCCCCTTTCCCTCTACAATCCTCCGCCGGACAGTCGTACACAAGCCTCGAGTTCTGACATTTCGGGCACATCTCAACATCAAGCACCCTGTCATCGTCGCACGACACGCACGTCTCTCCTCTGTGGTAAAACCGCGGCTTCTGAACACACTGCTGCTGCTCCGAGCTCTTGTTATCGCCTGCATCCAACAACTCGAACAGTTCATCGTAGTGATCTCTCGTCACTCCAAAGAGACCACCAATCTCCAAATGCTTCACTTGAAGCTTCCCTACAGACTTCAGATCCTTCAAGATGCTCAATATACCATCGATCGTGATCCTTGTGCATCCAGGCACCCCAAGCTGCAAAACCCCAGATTTACAGATTATAGCTTTACAGATTTACATTAAACTTGTTATATAAAAAGTACAATGACGAAAAAAAGGCTCACCTTAACTACTTGTGGGTTGTGCTCCAACACTCGTTTAAGACAGTCATCTGTAATCCTCGGACAATCCACGAGCCTCAAACACTGCATAGTACCTTGAGCCCTCTCGGTTAAATGCAGCAGAGCCTCATCGGTTATCTTCTCGTTCAACGGTTGACAAATGTGGATATGCTTCCACAGTAACGAGTCATCACGGACGATGGTGTGCAGAGACTTGCAAACCATACTGACCGAAAGAAGATCCTTCACTCCCAAGTGATAGAGACAAAAACCAAACGCAGGATGAACATTACCGTTCTCTCCTCCACCATCTCCATTGATGCAGCGATCACTGCTGCTTTCTCCAACTTCACCACCGTTATTCCTCGCGTCCTCTACGCTCAACACCTTATCCACACTACTAGCAGATATAAAGGCACCGTGGCAAGACCCATCGTGTAACGAACCCGACCCGTTATTGTACACGCAGCTCTCAGGGTACTCCTGAAACCGCATCGCGTTGTTCCAGATGAAACTCAACCCAGCAAACAGCTGCTGGTGGCTTCCATCGCCGATCCCAATCTCGTCTCTTCCGTATTGGCTATAGTCGACCTCCAAATCCTCGAGCCATCCAGTAATGGCGGTGAAAGTGTTGTTGATGTCCATGCCAAACGGATCAGACGGCAAAACGTCAAGTATGTCGGAAGAAGAAGCCGAGTCTCCGGTGCTCCTTCCACAGTCAAAGCAATCACCTTTCTCGATACTTGAACACCAAGGCTGGGAAAAATAATCACCTTTCCCTTCAACAAGATACCCATTGGCTATCTTCATTGGTGAAACCTTGCTTTCCTCAGATAGATGGGAAGAAAAGTGTCTATGCGAAAAATTTAAGGCCATTCCTATTATTAATCTCTATGTACACATACACTTAAAGAAAACCTAAAATCCCTTTTGTACAGAAATCCCTAAAAAAGTGAACCCCTCCTAAGATCAGATCCGAAAAAAAACTATGGTTTTTTTTTTTTTGGAATTGGTAAGAGAAATTAAGAAACAAACGAAGAAGATGGATCTATCGAGAAAAAGGAAACTCTTGATTTCAGATGACAACAAAAAAATACTGGGCACCGAAATTTTCAGAGCTTCCTTGGTTTAGAAAGTAAAGGAACCCTACGAAACTGGAAAAGCTAGATGAGACGTATTAACAACGAATTGGTGACAAAAGAATGAATGAATTAATGGAATTTTGTATTATTTTTTGTTTTTGTTTTTTTTCTTTCTCCCCTTTCTGTTTAAGCTCTGCCTCGATCAAAACTAGGGTTTTCAGAGAATTCCAAAACCTAAAATCCTAAAACATTAAAAAGGGACAGAGATAATAAGATTTGTTGATCCGTGGGATCGAATTGAATAAAGCAATTAGAGAACTTGGAATCAGAGAAACCCTTCCTCACCCACGTAGAATCGCGATCAACGGAAAAACCAAACCGAACCCTCGCCGCGAAAAATAAAATAAGATCTCCTTTTATTTTGGGGGAAATCTAGATTCTTTTAATAGTTCGAATTGGAATGGAACAACGCAGCAAGTTTCTTCCTCTTGGTGAAGCAATTTCGATTGAAGAAGAGAGAAAGAGAGAGAAGAGAGATAGAGAAAGAACGGGTTGGTGATATTCGTCGACCGAGTCAAGAGAGAAAACGATGGAAAGGTCGAGAAAATTGTGCGAGAAAATCTCCTTTTATTTTTTATTCTTTGGGGTCGAGATTTTACGAGGGAGAAAGAAACTCGAGGAAAAAATAAAAATAAATAAAAAAGGAAAGAGATAAGATTAGGGTAACGGTGAAATCGTCAAAGTCTGTGGTGCGATGGACACGTGTTGTTTTTAGAGCTCTTTGTCATTCTGCTCGCTCTTTGATCTGTCGACAAATTGTGATATCTGATTTTCTTTTCCTGATTTGATAATTTTTATTATTATATAAGTTACTAATATAATTTATAACTATAGTAACTTACAACGAATTATTTAGGCAACAAGCAACTTCAAATTTTCCCATTTCCACTAATTATACTGTAAATGATAGTACATTTTTTAGTGCGCTTATTTGGTTTTTTTTTGTAATCAAATAAACCAACGAATAAAGGCTCATTAAAATGTGACATCTAAGCAAAACAAATTTCAGATAGAAAGGATTACGTTCTTGATTTAATGTAAACTCTATTTATAAAATCATCAAGCTAAATAAGAAGAAAAAAAGAATGTGTGTATATATATGTTTGTTTCAGCAACACGTAAAGTTTGATATTGACCGGGTTTTAGTAACGAATGTTTCGTGGAAGAATACAAACTTCGAACATTGTAAAAATATGAACTTCCAAGATTCTTCTCTTCTTTGTGACATACTCGGAAATGAAAAACAAAATGTAATAATTGATCGACGAACACAACATAAGGATTAGTTTTGGAATATATTTGTTTGATCAAATACTATACACTAAATTTTAAACAATTAAAGAGTCATACGTCAAATTAATAAATAACTAAAACAGCGAATCCGATGGTTGATGACTTGATGTTGAATTACAATATTGGTTTTCTTTGTTTGTTAACAAAGAGTCTTATCCATCGAACTTGCTTCTCAAAAAGTCTTGGACTTGGGCCTTAGGCCCATCCATAAGCGCAGCGAGAAAATGATTTGCATATACGTCACCGTTTGGTAACAACGCTAAACTGGTAAACGACGTCGGACGTTCGTGTCTCAATCTTGAAATTTTGGGTTTAAGTGCCCGCTTCAAAATTCGTAATCATAAACACAACAAATGTAAGACTTGGCAGCCCAGAAGAAGCATTTGCAATCAATTATTACTATTAAAAGAAAGGAAGTAAAAGAAACCAATTAAAAAAATAATTAAGTTGGAAAAATAAAGTTTTGATCGATCAAATGAAAACCGTTGGATCTTCCATCGGAAGGAAGAATTATCACTGGATCACGAGAAGAATAACAATTTAATTTATAAAAAGAAAAAGGAAAAAAGAACAAAAATAAAAAAAATAAAGCAGAAAATTCATCGCTTTGGTTGGAAAAAAAAAAAGAAAAGGCAGAAAAAAAAAATATTCATACTTCCCAAAAATAATTTCTCAAGTCAACAAAGAACAACGAGACGAAAGAGGTCTGAAGAACTTTGAATGTTGTTATCATCATCATCATCATCATCATAATCCTTGTAATCGCTTTTTCTCATCTGGGTATTCCTTCTGTTGACCTCAATTTGTGTCATCGACGATTATTGCTTTTTTTCGTTTTTTTTTTTAATTTTCCTATTATCGAAGCTCTTTTCTGGTTTTAGTCTTCTGAATTCGTATTGTCTGAAATCCATTGGTCTGTGCGTTTGTAGGGGAAAATGTGCAGCTTCCCTCTTGTTTTCGTTCTCTGATTCTCTCTATCACGTTTCATTTGGGATTGTTTCAGAATTGGAATCGCCGAAAGTTCGGATTTTTACGGGTAGATTGTACAAAAAAGGGCTTTGATTAAGGAAGAAGAAGAAAAACTTAGGGATTTCTCTCGATTTCCAGGTTCGTGATTTGATTCTGTTTATAAGTTATAGGCTGATCTAAGTTTTTTCATGATTTTTCTTATGGATTTTTGCTTTTCTCAGATGATGAAGAGACGAAGTCTCAGTTTGAAAATGATGGATTTGTTCTTCTAGGGCTTGTTTGTTTGGGGGATGATTAGAGAATCTGAGTCCTTCTTGTGTTGAGAATAAAACAACTATGTGGAAACAGATTCTGAGTAAGCTTCCCAAAAAGTCTTCAAAGAACGAACATCGTGGACGTGAACACGGTGGCCATTCTTCTTCCTCTCATGCTTCAGGTGCCTCTACTTCCAAAAGCAGTGATAATGTCGCCGGAAAATCAGGAAACTCGCAGACGAAGAACGCTCCAGCAGGCGGCAAATCCGCCGCTTCCGACTCTGGTTTCAAAGATGGGAATCTAAAGAGCAGTGGTAACAACAACATCAACAGCAACAACAACAATGGAGTGTTCACTCCTTACGAGGCCTTGCCTGGTTTCAAAGATGTTCCAAACACGGAGAAGCAAAACCTGTTCATAAAAAAGCTCAACTTGTGCCGCGTAGTGTTTGATTTCACGGATCCTACAAAGAACGTCAAGGAAAAAGAGATCAAGAGGCAGACGTTGCTGGAGCTTGTGGACTACGTGAACTCTGCGAATGGAAAGTTCAGCGAAGGAGGGATTCAAGAAGTCGTTCGTATGGTCTCTGCTAACATATTCAGAACGCTGAATCCTCAGCCACGTGAAAACAAAGTCATTGACGCCTTAGACCTCGAGGAGGAAGAGCCTTCCATGGACCTTGCGTGGCCTCACTTGCAGCTTGTCTATGAGCTTTTCTTGAGGTTCGTTGCTTCGCCTGAGACTGACACCAAGCTGGCTAAGAGATACATAGACCAGTCTTTCGTCCTGAGGTTACTGGATTTATTTGATTCCGAGGATCCTAGGGAGAGAGACTGTCTGAAAACCATTCTCCATCGTATCTACGGTAAATTCATGGTTCACCGTCCTTTCATAAGGAAATCCATAAACAACATCTTCTATCGGTTTGTCTTCGAGACGGAGAAACATAACGGGATCGCTGAGTTTCTTGAGATCTTGGGAAGCATCATCAACGGGTTTGCTCTTCCATTGAAAGAAGAGCACAAAGTGTTTCTCGTCCGGGTTTTGATACCTCTCCACAAACCCAAATGCCTGCAAATGTATCATCAACAGTTGTCTTACTGTATCACACAGTTTGTGGAAAAAGATTGCAAACTTGCTGATACGGTTATAAGAGGGCTGTTGAAGTATTGGCCCGTGACGAATAGCTCCAAAGAAGTCATGTTTCTTAATGAGTTGGAGGAAGTACTCGAAGCAACTCAGCCGCCGGAGTTTCAACGGTGCATGGTACCACTGTTTCGCCAAATAGCTCGATGTTTGAACAGTCTGCATTTTCAGGTAATATCTCTTTGCTTTGGTCATTTCTGAATATATTCTCTGTTGCTGTTTAGTCTTTGTTGCGCCTCTCATTTGCTATGCCATAACGTTTAACATACATGTTAACAGCTACTGGAACTCGTTATAGACTAACTGGTTGTTATATCGAAAGATCAAATGTTTTGCGGCAGTACAATTAGCATTATATAGGACAGTTGTATCAGCTCTTGGTAATACCTTAAGACAGTTTCGTAGATAAATCATTACATAAAGGCTCTTGTCCAATGAATAAAAATGGAAACAGTGACTATATATGATCTTCAGAGGGAAAAGGTTGTTCATTCCAAGAAGACGAAAGCTATTAAAGACTATAAAAGCTTCAATTTGTGTTTTAAAAATGGAAACAGTGACTATAAATGATCTTCACAGTAAAGTTGTTAAAGACTACTAAAGCTTCAGTCTTTGTTTCGGTCTGTTACATGCATCTTTTTGGTCTTTGCAGGTTGCAGAGAGAGCTTTATTCTTATGGAACAACAATCACATAGAGAATCTGATAATGCAGAGCCGCAAAGTCATTCTTCCAATTATATTCCCAGCGTTGGAGAGAAACGCGCAGAATCATTGGAACCAAGCTGTTCATAGCTTGACACTAAACGTGCGGAAGATATTTCACGACCTTGATCCTGAGCTGTTCAAAGAATGTCTTGCCAAGTTCAAGGAAGATGAATCAAAGCAAGCTGAAACCGAAGCAAAACGTCAAGCCACTTGGAAACGTTTGGAGGAACTCGGGACGCGAAAGGCCTCATGAGGTTAGAGCTGTAGAGAAGAAAGGAGAGAGCTTTCGTGTTCTTCAGAAACTTCTGATGTCAAATTGGGGAGAGCATTGGAGAAAATTGTCAAATTGGTCTCGTCGTTGAAGGAAAAGGAAACTCAAGATGTAAGATTGTTCCCGTTTTGATTTCCATTATTATTTTTTTCTTGTTTCCTCTAAAATCTTCCTGTTCGTTGAAGCTTGTTAATGGGTTTTTTTTTTGCTACATTGTCTGATCTCTTGTTCCTCTTTCTTGAGACTTGTCTGATTCATTCATCTTCTGCTTTGGTTACCTGCAAAAAAATTGCAGCTTTAGGGTTTGCCACGCTAAAGGATCAGTTTGTTCGTTGTATTAAATACCTTCCCTTTTGGGTTTTTTTTTTCTGTTGTATAATTTCTTCAAAATCAGGAAACAAATTCGTCACTTTATGGAAAGAAAGGAAAAAAGAACATTTTGCTAATAATCTTCTCGTTAATTTGCTTTGAAAGGCCAATTTTTTTTATTTTCCAACAGAAACTCAAATATCTTCGGTTTCAGTTTTGTGGGTTTGTGGATTTGTTTACGAACTCCACATTTCTTGGAACTCTCAAATACTCAAAAGCTAAACACCTAATGCATAATCGAGATTGGTTCAGTGCAGTGATTGGATTTTTAATCTTTTAGTTCATTGGTTATTGAGTTTCGGGTTATGACTTAAACGTTGTCGACATGCTGTTCCCTGTTTCAGACAGTGTAAATTTTTCTCTGGTCATTCGGTCTTCTCACAGTCACCATCCTCTCTTTTCTCTCTCTCTTCTCTCTACTCACTAATCTCTAATCTATATCCATTTCTTTTTCTCTCTCCAGATGCCAACGAAGCATTAGCTATGAAAAGCTAAACCCTTCTTCTTCGTCGTCTTCTTCTTCTTCTGGTACTTAGGTTGTTTAGGTTACTTGGGGTCAAACCCAAGTTCTTCTGTTTCTTTTTTTTAAACGATTCATGAATCCAGATCTTGCTTTCTTCCTCCATAAACGATTCACGCGCTTGTTTTATGATTAAAAAGCCACTTCCTTTTTCCTCTGGGTTTTTTGTCTGCTTTCTTCTTTGGATGATTTAGTCAAATCGAGATCTAGTCAATAAGTGATGTTCACAAGAGTTGTTCTTATGCGTGGTGAGATGATCTTAGGAGTAGTACAGTATACTTCTTCAATCGATTTTTTGGGTTTCTGAGATCTGGTTTTTTGCTTTAAAGTGTGATGGAAAGTTAAAAAAGACTCTTTCTTCTCTGGTGTCTAATCTAATCTCATCCCGTTGAAATTGAAGTCTTGACTCATATAGATCGGGAAGCTTGAGAAGATGCTTAAGCAGATACTTGGGAAGCTTCCTAAGAAACCTTCTGCTAAGTTTTGGGATAATGGTGAGTCCCAAGCTCCAGATAACAACAATCAAGGCGATGAAGTTCCAAGCCAGAGATCATCAAATGGAGATAATCTGGATTGTGTTTCTCTAGAGGTTTTGCCGAGGCTGAGAGATGTTTCGATCTCGGAGAAGCAAGAACTGTTTCTCAAGAAGCTTAGGCTATGCTCCGTAGTGTTTGACTTCGTCGCCGAGCCTCAACAGAACTTGAAGGAGAAAGAGATCAAGAGGCAAACACTTCTTGAAGTCGTGGACTATGTCATCTCTTCAGGGAACGGGAAGTTCCCTGAGTCAGTTATTCAAGAAGCTACGAAGATGATTTCGGCTAATCTCTTTAGTAACCCTCATCAACAGTGTAAGAACAACAAGACTCCAGAAGCATTAGATGTGGAAGAAGAAGAAGGATCTCTGAACCCTTCTTGGCCTCACTTGCAGATTGTTTACGAGTTCCTCCTGAGAATCGTTGCATCCCCCAACACAGACGCCAAGATATCCAAGAAATACATCGACCATACCTTCGTTCTCAAGCTACTGGACCTGTTCGACTCTGAAGATCCGAGGGAGAGAGAGTACCTCAAGACAATACTTCACCGGATCTACGGGAGGTTTATGGTTCACCGCCCGTTCATCAGGAAAACGATGAACAACATCTTGTATGATTTCATATTCGAGACAGGGAAACACTCGGGGATCGCCGAGTTTCTTGAAGTTTTGGGATCCATCATCAATGGGTTCGCTTTACCTCTCAAGGAAGAACACAAGCTCTTCCTCACTCGTGTCTTGGTTCCTCTACACAAGCTGAAATGCTTACCGAACTACCATCAGCAGCTCTCTTACTGCGTTATACAGTTTGTTGAGAAAGACTGTAAGCTCGCAGATACGGTCATTAGAGGGTTGTTGAAGTACTGGCCAGTTACTAATAGCTCCAAAGAAATCATGTTCTTGAATGAATTGGAGGAGATATTAGAAGCAACGCAATCAACAGAGTTTGAGAGGTGTATGATCCCTCTCTCTCGCCAAATCGCTCAGTGCTTGAGCAGTTCTCACTTTCAGGTAAAAGCTGGTTTCACTTACCGTTTCTCTTGATATTGTTCATGAATTTTAGTTGCTTATGGGAACAATGATCTTGTGTGTTTAGGTAGCGGAACGGGCTTTATACCTATGGAACAATGATCACGTCAGTAAATTGGTGAGACAGAACAGCAGAATCATTCTACCGATAGTGTTCCCAGCTCTGGAGAAAAACGGCAGTAGCCATTGGAACCAGGCTGTGAAGAACTTGACCGAGAATGTTCTTAAGGTCTTGTCCGATACGAATCCAGAACTATTCGAAGAATGTTTGCGCAAGTTTCAAGAAGATCAGCAGAATGCAGAGGATACCAAGAAGAAGAATGGAGAAACCTGGAGACAGCTAGAGGAGATTGTTGCGTCAAAGGGACACACATCAATGGCGAAGTAAGAGTTTTTACTGCACTTTACGCGATACAAAATGGAAAATGGGTTCATGTTTTTGTTTTTTTTTTCCCTGGTCTTTACGCCTGAAAGGTATATACAATTTTTTTTTTTACTTGCTTGCTTGCTTCAAGTCTCTGGTTTCGTTAAACAGTGTGAGAGATGTTTGTCCTCTTTCAGTTCTTGATTTGTCTGTATACTTTGTTCATTGTAAACATCTTTCTTATGATAACACGAATTTTCTCTCTCGTCTGACGTCCACTCAGGTTAGGTGAAACAGATTGTTCTAATATTAAATTGATCTGGGATGATCTAAATCAGGAAAAAAAGTTTTGTCCTTAAGTGTACAGAGGATCTATTGACATTTTCATGCAAGAATCTTTGGTTTCTGTCTGTTAAAAAGCTCTGTTACAACAGGTTTCTTCTTCTTCTCTTCATCTAACAACAACACCTAAAATAGAAACCAAAGAGAAAAAAACTCTCTGCGATGACTCTTGCTAGCTGTTTCTTCAGAAGGTTTCACCAGAAAAGTCATTTGAGAGTTGATGTGATCTCCAGAGACATCATCAAGCCATCGTCTCCAACTCCAAACCACTTGAAGAACTTTAAACTGTCTCTTTTAGAACAGCTCGGTCCAACGATCTTTGGTCCTATGGTCTTCTTCTATCCAGGTAATAACAGAATCAAACCAACAGAGCAACTGCAGAAGCTGAAGAAGTCGTTATCCGAGACTTTAACTCATTTCTACCCTCTCGCTGGACGGCTCAAAGGCAGCATAAGCATCGATTGTAACGACTCAGGCGCCGATTTCCTCGAAGCTGAAGTCAGTTCACCGCTTTCGAATCTCTTACAAGAGCCTTCTTCAGACGGCTTGCAACAGCTGATTCCTACATCACTTGATTCCACAGAGACAAGAACCAAACTGCTTCTTGCTCAAGCGAGTTTCTTCCAATGTGGAGGCGTGGCTATAGGAGTTTGCATCTCTCATAAACTCGCGGACGCAACTTCCATCGGTCTATTCATGAAGAGCTGGGCTGCGATCTCGTCTCGAGGATCGATCAAAACCGTTGGATCTCCGGTTTTCGACACGGTCAAGATCTTCCCACCTGGAAACTTCTCCGAGACTTCCCCTGCACCTGTTGTTGAGCCAGAGATCAAGATGAATCAGACTATCTCGAAGAGATTCGTTTTCGATTCTTCGAGTATTCAAGCTTTGCAAGCGAAAGCTTCGAGCTTTGAAGTGAATCAACCTACAAGAGTCGAAGCTGTTTCAGCTCTTATATGGAAATCTGCAATGAAAGCTACAAGAACAGTTTCAAAGACATCGAAACCATCGGTTCTCGCGAACTCCGCTTGTCTTCGCTCTCGTGTCTCTCCACCGTTTACAGAGAACTCAATTGGGAATCTCGTGAGCTACTTTGCAGCAAAAGCAGAGGAAGGAGAGACCCAGACAAAGCTTCAGACTTTGGTTTCCGAAATCAGAAAAGCGAAACAGAGGTTTCGAGATGACCATGTAACGAAGCTTGTAGGGAACCCAAATGCAACGGAGATCATTTGTAGCTACCAGAGAGAAGCAGGAGATATGATTGCAAGTGGGGGTTTCGATTTCTACATCTTCTCGAGTGCTTGTCGGTTCGGTTTGTATGAGACGGATTTCGGTTGGGGAAAACCGGTTTGGGTTGGGTTTCCTACGGTTAGACAGAAGAACATCGTGGCGATTCTCGACACCAAAGAAGCTGGTGGAATTGAAGCTTGGGTGAATCTGAATGAACAAGAGATGAAGCTCTTTGAAGAAGATAGAGAATTGCTCGATTTTGCTTCTGTGAATCCTAGTGTGATCCAACCTTTTCTCCACGTTCTCTGATTATGAATCCGGTTTACTAATCTAATCACTAAACCGGATCTGTTGTTATTTATATTTTGTGGTTTTGTTAATAAACTAGCCGTTGGGGAGGCCACTGAAAGGCTAAAATATTTTATAACGCGCATAAAAAATATGGTGATGTAATAAATATTGTTCAGGTATATAAAAATAGAATATCATCACATTTGTAAAAGAAAAGTAAGAAAAATTCGTTAATAGATTAAATCACAAGTCATTTAAGGGAAACTCCATAGAGATCTATTTTTCAGTTTACCATAATATATCAATGTTTTCTTTACAAACTCTCAAGCATGTAGAATTTTGTCATATTTTCATCATAACATTTTCAAAGCTTTATAACTTTCTATAATTTATTTAGCAGTAAAAATCAATTTTTGCCTAAAGCACACTCACATGTTATCATAGGTTTTAAAATAATATTGATTTATATCTATAGTATGACAGCAAAAATAATTAAATAAATTTGGGATGTACAAAATTAACTTAAATAAATATTTTGTTTTAAGTAAAAATGAATAGACTTTTCTTATATCTATGTAACACATATGTGGAGTTAAAATTAAAAACAACTATTTCGTTTGAATTTTTTACTTAAAATTTGTTAATGTTATTAAAAGATATGAAAATAATATGAAAAATTAAAATTTTATCGTATGGAATTTGACATTGGATTAAAACAGCATATGCTTTGTTTACTAAATCATACTGATATAGTAGATCATACTAAAAGAGAAATAAATCTTATTTCTGATTCGATTTCTAAAAATATTTATAAATTTGATGATTTTTATCTATGATTTATTTTTATTTGTGTAAATTATTTCTAAACTATATGTATTTTTTGTTTAAATATAAGATAAGATGTTGAAAAGATAAACAATTTTTCTAGATTATACTGATTATAGTAGATCATACTAACAGAGAAATAAATCTTATTACTAATTCAATTTCTAAAAATATTTATAAATTTGATGATTTATGTATGGTTTATTTTTGTTTGCGTTAATTATTTCTAAACTATTTGTATTTTCTGTTTAAATATAAGATAAGATGTTGAAAAGATAAATAACTTTGCTAGATTATAATGATATAGTAGATCATGCTAACAGAGTAATAAATCTTATTGCTGATTCAATTTTTAAAAATATTTATAAATTTGATGATTTTTATGTATAATTTATTTTTGTTTGCGTAAATTATTTCTAAACTATTTATATTTTTTGTTTAAATATAAGATAAGATGTTGAAAAGATAAACAATTTCGCTAGATTATACTGATATAGTAGATCATACTAACAGAAAAATAAATCTTATTACTGATACGATTTCTAGAAATATTTATAAATTTGATGATTTATGTATGATTTATTTTTGTTCACGTAAATTATTTCTAAACTATTTGTATTTTCTGTTTAAATAGAAGATAAGATGTTGAAAAGATAAATAACAATGCTAGATTGTACTGATATAGTAGATCATACTAACAGAGAAATAAATCTTATTAGTGATTCGATTTCTAAAAATATTTATAAATTTGATGATTTATGTATGGTTTATTTTTGTTTGCGTAAATTATTTCTAAACTATTTTTATTTTCTGTTTAAATATAAGATAAGATGTTGAAAAAATAAATAATTTTGCTAGATTATGCTAATATAGTAGATCATACTAACAAAGAAACAAATCTTATTACTGATTCGATTGCTAAAAATATTTATAAATTTGATGATTTATGTATGATTGATATTTGTTTGCGTAAATTATTTATGAACTATTTGTATTTTATGTTTAAATATAAGATAAGATGTTGAAAAGATAAACAATTTTGCTAGATTATACTGATATAGTAGATCATACTAACAGAGAAATAAATCTTATTACTGATTCGATTTCTAAAAATATTTATAAATTTGATGATTTATGTATGGTTTATTTTTGTTTGCGTAAATTATTTCTAAACTATTTGTATTTTCTGTTTAAATATAAGATAAGATGTTGAAAAGATAAATAATTTTGCTAGATTATACTGATATAGTAGATCATACTAAAAGAGAATAAATTTTATGACTGATTCGATTTCTAAAAATATTTATAAATTTGATGATTTATGTATGGTTTATTTTTCTTCACGTAAATTATTTCTAAACTATTTGTATTTTCTGTTTAAGTATAAGACAAGATGTTGAAAAGATAAATAACTTTGCTAGATTATACTGATATGGTAGATCATACTAATAGAGAAATAAATCTTATTGGTGATTCAATTTCTAAAAATATTTATAAATTTGATGATATATGTATGGTTTATTTTTGTTCACGTAAATTATTTCTAAACCATTTGTATTTTCTCTTTAAATATAAGATAAGATGTTGAAAAGATAAACAATTTTGCTAGATTATACTAATATAGTTGATCATACTAACAGAGAAATAAATCTTATTACTGATTCGATTTCTAAAAATATTTATAAATTTGATGATTCATGTATGGTTTATTCTTGTTTGCGTAAATTATTTCTAAACTTTGTATTTTCTGTTTAAATATAATATAAGATGTTGAAAAGATAAACAATTTTGCTGATTATACTGATATAGTAGATTATACTAACAGAGAAATAAATCTTATTACTGATTCGATTTTTAAAAATATTTATAAATTTAATGATTTATGTATGATTTGTTTTTGTTTGCATAAATTATTTCTTGTATTTTCTGTTTAAATATAAAAGAAGATGTTGAAAAGATAAATAATCAGTGACTCACAATTCTTCTACCTTTTGACAAATTTTTATAATCTGAGCCTTTGGAAAAAAAAAAATTCTTCCTCTATTTGATATAATAATTTCTATATATGACGTAGAAAATATGTAGAAAAGTGGCCGTTGAGGGGAAATTTAAATCAAATGCTTTGAGTTCGAACCTACTGGAGATTGGAGCCGAAGCTAATAGATAAAAAAGTTTCAGTTTCTCTGCGAATATCCAGATTTGGGGAGAAAAGGGGGAAAAAACTAGGGTTTTTGGATCTCGAGAAGGAAAAAAAAATGGGAGAATCCGTCTGTCTTGTGAGATCCTTCTCGCAACCTGCAGAGATTTCATCTCGTGAAACCGACGAGGTCAGTGCTTAAGATTTGTTTCTCTATGTTCTCAATTGCTTTCTTCTACTTCGATCCGTGGTTTATCTTTTTCCGAGATTCTGTTCTGTTTGGGAAAATTTCTGGATTTTGGAGTTTTACGAAGTTATTTGAGAAGATGGAATCATGGATTTAGCTCAAAGAGATTCGATTCTGGAAATTGATTTTGCTGAAGTTTCACATAGAATGTTGTTTGATGTTTCAGATTTGATTTTTTTTTATTTTTTGGGGTTTGCAGGTTGTTGTTCCTCGTCGTGTCCTCACAGAATCAGTATCGTTTGGTAGATTTGCGTCAGAGACTCTACAATGGGAGAAATGGTCAGCTTTCACTCAGAACCGTTACTTGGAAGAGGTCGAGAGGTTCACAAAACCTGGTTCTGTGGCGGAGAAGAAGGCCTTTTTCGAAGCTCACTTCAAGAACCGAGCTTCAGGGAGAGCAACAAAGACGAAGACGGAAGAAGCAAATGTTAAAACCATCGATGAAATCGTGTGTGAAACACGGGAAGACACTCTCGTTGATTCCGAAGCACCACCGCTTGTGGTGAATAATGATGGTATGGCCATGGATGATGAAGTAAGGCATGAAGAGATGTCGAGTGCTGAGGTAGATTCTGTTGTAACCGGTGAAACAACTGTTGTTCAAACTGGAGAAGTGGATGTCATCAATGTCGAGAGCTTTGATTCCATGGCTGTTTCTCAAGACGAGGCTCTTGATCAGGTAATGTTCTTGTGCACCATCATTTTTTTTTTTTTTGGTTACATTGCAAAGGCAGAAACTTTTACTCATCGTCCATTGAAATTTTCAGGATAATTCTACTTCATTGAGCAAAGAAAGACGTCCTCTTAGCTCTTCCGGATCAAAGACCTGCAGTACAAGTTCGAATCTGGAGCATTCCTTTGTTATGGGACTGGATCTGACACTAGAGAGAACCAGAGAAGAGCCAACCTCGAGAAAGAAAAGGTCAACTAGTGTATCCAGAAACCAAAACAGACCACCTCCTGAACCATTTCACATGTCAATCGATTCTGCTCCTTTTGGTAATACCGACAGAAAAATTTCTCGGATGCCCCAAAACGGCTCTAAAGGCAGTACCAATGCTAAGGATGCAGCAGGGAAATCAGACAAGAAGGAGAGACAAGGTCCTAGTTCGGTTCACATGTCACTCAACCTTGCTCCTTCTGCTCGTCCAACAGCCCTGAAAAAACTGGCGAGAAAATCTACTACACAGGAAACAAGTTCGTCAAGTGCTAGAAACAGTGTAAACTCCAAGGCAAACGAACCAACGGTAGCTTCAAAAACTCGCAAGAGACCATGGCCTAGAACAGCCAAAGAAGATTCAGTTACTCCAAGTTCATCAAATGCTAGAAACAATGTGAACTCCAAGGCAAACGAACCAACGGTAGCTTCAAAAAGCCGCAAGAGAACACCCAAAGAAGATTCAGTTGCAACCAGAGTAATTCTCCTTCCAAGTTTCTCCATTTTCATGAGTATATCACAGGCATATTTGCTGAGACTGACTCTTGCATATCTTGTAGGCCTCTGCTTTCAGGTTACCTGAACTTCCTCCTCCTCCCAATAATCAGCTACCAGAAGACAAAAGGTTACTGATCCACCTATCTTCAGCAACATTCATCGCTTTATACTATAGCTAACTCAACCCTATGATTAACTTTGGTTTCTAATACAGGAAAAACATAACTGTAAGCAGTTCAGTGTCATGCAAGATACCCAACAAAGTGCAAAGACAGCCTTTTGCCAGGTACGCGGTTTAGGTACCAACATCTTAGATGCTATTTTATGTTATTGCAATGGCTTCAGTTGATTGTGGAAATAAGACGGGATGTTTTTGTCTATTCCATTTGCAGCTGCGAAAATCTTTCTACTCATTGCAGAACCAGAGCAAAGTCTTTCACTGTAACTTCTCCCTTCAACTTCAGAAGTGATGAAAGGGCAGAAAAGAGGAAAGAGGTAAAAACTCTTTATATAGCAGATCCTTTTATATATCTTTTGAAATCAGAGGACATAAATAGTTGAGCATGGTTTAATGAAGCTCTCTTTTGTTGTGGCTGTTGTCTTTTAGTTCTTCAAGAAGCTAGAAGAAAAGAACAGGAAAGACAATACTGGCAAAGATAGGTAACTAATAGCCCTGTGTCTGTTAGTTCTTCAGGAAGCTAGAAGAAAAGAACAAGAAGATTCAGTTGCTCCAAATTGTAGAATAGATAGAAAGAACTCTCAAATTTTCAACTATGTACTCCATAGTTTTTGTAGTCTCAACAATCTTGTATCATTTGTATACATGGAGATTGGAAATATAAAAAAGATTAAATGGTTCTTTCTCATTGTCACGTTTGTGTTTCTTTCTTGAATTAGTTTCTTTGTTACTCTTTCATGCGAATGAAATTAGAACACAGAGCAGAGCTCGAGACAATATAACGAGTTTAGCAAGTTCTTGTACTATAACAGTGTCTTTTTCAATGACACACACAAAGTTCAACATAGTTTTTTCTATCCATCCTCTGAACATAAGCAGCGCACACGAATGCAACTGGGGAAGAATCTAGCACACAACACCAAGCTAGACCAGAGCAGACCAGACACAAGAATTTACAGAGTAGAAGTAAAAGAGAGGGCACTTGTAAGAAGATGTCACAACATGTATCTGAGTCGGGCCGATGAAGTGCGTAAGTGCGTGCCTTGTGCATCTACTTACTCTGAGTGAGAAGTCCAATACATTAGGCCACTTATCAACACAAAGACACATTGAAAGACACCAGCCACACCAGTCCAGGTCGAAGGACCAGTCTTCACGACCGAATCTTGAATCAGCAAACCAACAGAAGCAGCCAAGGAAACAAACGCTACCACATACGCTATGAAAAGCCATAGCTTCAATCTGCAGCAAAGAATCCAAATCACACAGATAATAAAAAAAAAGATGAATCATCAACACCACTTGTGTTGTGGTTCATAGATACAAACAAGAGATCGCACAAATCTCAGCTTAAAAACTCTTTATCAAATTCGTCATCAGTGGCTCTGCAAATTAGCAACACGAATCAAGGAAGAGAAAGCAATGGAAAAGTAGCTAACCTCCATTCGCCTTCGTCATAAGGAGAGTAATCGATATCTTCTTTTCTCACGCAATTGAACATCAGAGCTCCGAGAGATGCGAATATGCCTGCGATACCCCAAAAATTCAAAATCAAAGTTTCACTAAAACCCAAAGTCAAAATTTCGGAATCCAATGATTCGCTCACGAGAAAAGGAGATTGGATGCTCACCGGGAAGGTAATGGAGGAAGGGAACTTGGATGGAACTGCAGACGACGGCGTCGACCCAGAACCACCAGCCGGTTCCGAAAACGGCGCCGGAGAAACCAGGCCCGAAGATCGCCCACAGTTCAGCCAAATCCATCTGATCGATGATCGGTCTCCAATTGGATCTGACGAATTAGTTTTGACCGGAAGAAATTTTGATAATTCCAAGGAAAATGCAAAAGCTCTCCTTTTTTGGATTACCATCTGTTTTAGAAACGGCGCCGTAATGGAGTCGGATAATTTTTTTTTTTTCTTTTTACTCTCTGTGTGGTTGTGTCTGTATAATAACTAATAAGTACGGTCATAGAGTAAACATAAAGGGAATTAGATTTTCTGTTCTCTAATAAATGCTATATATGCAAAAATAATCAATTAATAAGAATATAACAAATTGTCACATCGTTAAATTATTAAAAAAAAATTAACCAATTAGAATAAGACAATATACCACATCAGCAAAAATAATTAATCAATGGTAGATTTCAAAACTGTCATATCATCTTCACCAACCAATAATTTAAAACCATTTTATTAAATAATTTATTAATCAAAATTTCTTCAAATTTTATCTAAAAAAAGCTTTTGTACTTTTTAAATTCTCAATAAAAAAACTGAAAATGAATTACACTAAAACTCAATTATAAAGCTTAAATAAAAGCTTATTTTATGGAGTCATCGTCTTCTCGGTTTCCAATCATCTCGCCTCTGACTCACCAGAAACGGAATCAGCCGTCACTAAACACAAATTTTACTTATTAATTAATGACAACCAAACTGGTGATAAACAATAAAACTTAAATAAGTGGAGCATAAATATTTGGAAATCTAAAAGACATTACAATGAGGATGTCAAAAAAAAAGATATAGCGATGAGCCACATATGATATAAATAATATACAACTCTATCACAAATGAAGTCTAATGTGTCTCATGCTTGAGATTGTTCTAAGCAACATAAAAATACAATCTCACAACTGTTTTGCATTTATATTTATAATGTGAATCAAGTAGAAAGAGTCTGAATTATAGTATTGTTGGAACTGGAGAACGTCTTTCTCACCAAAAGTAAAACTTAAGGAGCGACTCAGTTTTTTTTCGTCTAGAGAAAATTAATTTATACAATTATAACTTTTTGACTTATAACAGATTTCAAGTTTCTAAAGCTGATATAGAGTTTCATATTGTTCGTTGTAATCCGATATTGTAGAAAAACTGAAGTAAAAACCTAACTAAAGAACCGGTGATTAAAGACAGTTACTCACCGTTTCTTAATTTTTATTTGCAAAATTTCATGAAACATAAAACTGAAAAGATTTATTTTTCAAATAACATATAACGATAAATTCTACACTATTCACCAATATTGGCAAATGATTGAGCTAGCTAAACTATCAAACAAATATTATATCAATCAATAAAGAACTCATATAATAAAAAAGTTTATTATTAATTGCCATTTTTTTTCTTCTTTGAATATATGAACTAATTATAAAATATCTATATACATACTGAATCTTAAAAAATTGATAAGTAGAGAAATGCATACTATATGAAAATTAAAAACAAAATCCTAATACACAATATGAAACAAAAATGGAGTAAGGATTGAGTTTTTCTTTTGAAAAGCATCAAGCGAAAGAGAAGCTTATGCAAAATATTTTTGAAACTATAAACAAATACTCATGGTGTTCACTAAAGAAATAGCATTATAACATAAAATGTCCAAATTTAGACAATATATTTCTAATATAATATATAGTTCATGTGGATACTATTTACATAAACAAAAATATAAAAAATTACAGATCAAATTATTATACAAAAATATCAAACTTTATCCTTCATATTTGCAAAAACATGCATCTAAAGTTTAACTAAGCCAAAAAGTATATTAATCTACTCAAATTATTATACAAAAATTTTGATCATCTTTTCACATATATATATATATATATATACATCCTTCTTATACTTACTTCGCTCGATTATATCTAAAAATCACATGCAAATATACTACTCTATAATTTATCACAATGTTAAATACAAAATCAATTGACAACCTTTTATAAAACTACAATATAACTATACAACTCACGCGTAACATAAGCAAAACACTAGTATTATAAATTCTTCTACTTCAACACAGCTGAGATTAAACATAGTAAGATGATCATCATAAAGAATCCACCTTTTCACGTTGAAGAGTTCGAAAGATTTGTCCTTTCATGAAGAATAGGTGCTATAGTCGTACAACACAATTCTTCCTCGTATATGTACTCAATAGCTTTGATAGTCTCAGTCTTGTATCATTTGCATATTGCATATATGGCGATATTGAAATAAACTGTATAAATCAAATAGGGATCAAATTATATGGTTCTTTCTCAGTTCTCATTTGTCACGTTTGTGTTTCTTTCTTGAATTGGTTTAGACAGGGGAAAAAAGTAAGTATCCAACGCCTTTGCATGATTTCAAGAAAAAGGCAAAGCTCCCCTTTTTAACTTTGTTACCAAAACGACGACGTAACGGAGTCGGAAACACCGACGACCTCACGTTTCGGAGAGAGAAAAAAATCTTATCTCTCTGTGATACTGTGATGTTGTTGTCATGGCGATGACCGAGCAACGATCTCTCTCTTTCTTCTTCTTCTTCTGTGTTTGTCTTCGAACAGAGTTTCTCTGAAACGGAAGCAGCGACTCATTGCTTTTCTATGGCTTTGCCTTCGTGCCTAAAGACTACTGGAGTTCCGATGTCTCCGACCACCGGATTTAATCTTTCCGGCAGCCTCTTGAAGTCGGAAAGTGGCTTCGCCGTTCCGACAAAGTTAAAGAGCGTTGGAAAAGTCGATCGAGAAAGATTGAGAATCCAAGCCGTTTTCAGCTTTCCTCCGGCGTTTCTGACCAGAAACGGTCGAGCCGAGAAGCAGAAACAGCTGAAGCAAAACCTTCTCGAAGCCATTGAGCCTCTCGAACGTGGCGCCGCCGCCTCGCCTGATGATCAGCTCCGGATTGATCAGGTTCTCTTTCTCTCTCTCTCTTTCTTGTTACAGAAACATTAAGAATTGGTAATGATGATTTTGTGTTAGGAATGTGACTGATGAAAGCAAAATCTATGTCCATTGATCTTACATACATGGCTCCTTTTGTTTGTGTGGAGACAGTTAGCTCGTAAAGTGGAAGCAGTGAATCCCACCAAGGAGCCTCTGAAATCTGATTTAGTCAATGGGAAATGGGAGCTCATTTACACTACCTCTGCTTCCATTTTGCAGGCAAAGGTTAGAACTTTGTTCTTATTTTTGTTTGTCGTTGTTGTGTCTTGTTAAATTATTTAGCTTCTTGTGTCATTGCTCTCTCTCTCTTACCTCTTTGACAATGCAACAGAAACCAAGGTTCTTAAGATCAATAACAAACTACCAATCTATCAATGTGGATACGTTAAAGGTTCAAAACATGGAGACTTGGCCTTTCTACAACTCGGTAAAGTTTCAAACTGATGAATTATTGTTTGTTCGCATTGTGCTAGACCATAAACTAAGCTCCTTCTCTGTGATATGGTAACCTATTGATGTTATCCATTGGCATAAAAACTGAATATGTACAAAGTTTTGTAGATTCTGCAAATCTTAGGATTCAAAACTGCAATTATATTGTGGCTGTGTAGGCAAGAACAAATGAATGAGAACAACTTTCTTTATCAGTAGTAGCCATGGCTCTATTATGAGTGAGATTCCTTTTGCTGATTAAGCAAACAACGTGTTTCCTCGTAGGTAACTGGAGACTTGACACCCCTCAATTCGAAGAAGGTCGCTGTGAAACTCCAAGTGTTTAAAATTCTCGGCTTTGTAAGTAGACTGAAACTTATGTACTGATTCAGACAGTATATGCTTTTTTTAATACTGAACTGTGGTGTGTTTGATTTGCAGATTCCTGTAAAAGCGCCTGATAACGCACGTGGTGAGCTGGAGATTACCTATGTGGATGAGGAACTACGGTTAGTGGATAAAAGTTTTCTAATTTTTATGTTTTTATTATGAACAAAACATCCAGAATCTCAAAAACAATGGTTTTTTTTTCCTTCTGCAGGTTGTCAAGGGGTGACAAGGGAAACTTGTTTATATTGAAGATGTTCGATCCAACTTATCGAATCCCTCTCTGATCTTGTTCTGGGTTTTACTTTCGAACAAATGGTTCCGACTTCCGAGCCATTATACACACCCTGTCGCTTGTTCTGTCTCTCTTCATCATGTATAGATGAATGTTTCTTTCTACAAATTTACAATCTTTCAAGAGAAAGAAAAGAATAAAAAGAGACGAGCGCTTGTCACAGTTTCAACTTGTTCTGATCGACACTGCATTTTATAATAAGATGAAAGCTCAAAACTTTGAAATCGGAGGTTAAGAAAGAATGAAATTTTTTTTTTTTTTTCTCTCTAGTGTCGAGCTTGAGATTTCTCATAAACGACGCCGTATGAAGCTGGCGAAACATAGACCTCTCGTTTCAGAGTTTTGTCGTCAGATAAACCCCTCGCGGCGCTTTGTTCTTCCTTCTTCCCCTTGGAACTCTTCCTTTGTTTTGTTTTGGAAAACAGAGTCTTAATGAATCGAAGCAATATAATTGAGAAGACAGACGAAAATCTCTGATGGGTTTCATCTCTCTGCAATCTTGGAGCAGAGGAGCTTCAACTTCTGTTCATCTCCTTCGTCCAGGTGGGTAAGTTCGATTCCTTGCTGAATATGATCAAATTCGATGAATTCGACAAGAAAAAACTGAATCTTGATTTGGTCAGTTGGTCCGAACCCTAAGCTATATGATGCTTCTCGAGCAGTACAAGCAGCCAAATTTTACACTGTAAGACTCTTGAATTTCGCCTGTTGTTGGTCCGAAAAACAAATCGTCATCTCATTGTCTGATTATTTATCTCCAGGGTTTTAAGTTTGATGTTAGAGCCTCTTCGAGTCGTAAATCACTTAAGAAACTCAGAAGAGAATCTCAACAAGGTAAAGACATAACCAGGAGAAACGTTACAGAAGATGAAGAAGAAGTTGCTCAAGTTTCTTCTCCCAAGTTTAAAGAAGCTCAAGTCGATACTTCAACTTCAAATGACTCCATCGATGTTGTTGCTCCTCGAGACAAAGTGCTTCAGGCCTGCACAGCAACCTCCGGTTTAATGGCTGCATTAGGCCTAATCATCAGGAAGGTGAAAGAAGAATCATTTTGAAAGTTTCGGTTTCTTTTTGTGATTCTAACAATCTGCAACTAATTGATTTGGTTTCCACTCGTAGGCGTCTCATGTCGCTTCGACTGAAGGATTACCAGTTCTAGACTGCTCTACAGATATACCATGTAACATCTTGCAAAAAAAAAAAACAATTTTAATTATACGAGCGAATCAATAAACAAAAACTGGTGTTTGTATTGTCTGATGTTTCTTGCAGTTGGTTTTGAAACTTGGCATCTCGGTTTAATCGCTGGAATCGTTGTGTTTATATCATCAAGCAGGTTCTTGCTACTAAAGTCTTGGCCAGATTTTGCTGAGTCAAGTGAAACAGCAAACCAACAGGTAAAAAAAAAACATTACTCATAATTACATTCCTATGGTTCTCTAAACTCGCTTAACGTCGCCTCCTTTGGATTTTCACTACTTGCAGATCCTTACTTCGCTCGAACCTCTAGATTACCTTCTTGTTGCGATTTTACCTGGAATTAGTGAGGTAACTAACAAATTAACAATCAAAGATACAAACATTAAAAAGTGTTTCCTTAAAGAAACTGTGGTTCATTGGTACGATTGTCGATGATCCACAGGAGATGCTCTTTCGAGGTGCATTGATGCCTTTGTTCGGAACCAATTGGAACAGTATTGTGGGAGTTGGACTCATCTTCGGTTTACTTCATCTTGGGAGTGGAAGAAAGTATTCTTTTGCAGTTTGGTAAATTCATTTTTTGTTGAACATTTTTGGTATTAGATGAATTATTATCATCATTCTTTGATTAGTCTTCGCATGTTCTTGAGTTCTTTGATTAGTCTTAGGGCATTTTCGTGTGTTTACATATTGAGTTCTGTTGCGGTTTTTTTGTAAAAATTCTTCTCAGGGCGTCGATTGTCGGAATAGTCTATGGTTATGCAGCGGTTTTGTCGGCGAGTCTTCTTGTTCCGATGGCCTCACACGCGCTTAACAATTTGGTCGGAGGTTTGCTGTGGCGATATAGTTCCAAGCTCAAGTCGTTGGAGTGAAAAAAAATACACAAATTTATAATGGGACTTAATTGAAAAATGTACAATTTTTATGGGTCGTTCTGTGAAATATTTGTAGTAGAGGGTAATTACTGCAACTTCATTGTACAAAGGACAAAGTGAAAATAGAACTCCATAAATTAATGATGTGTAAAGTGAAAAACCAATAATGTTTAATTTGTTGGTAGATTTTATTTAATTTTTTCTTAAAAAATAATAATTTGTGGAAGAAAACTGTTACCGGAAGAGGAAGTGTGTTCTGGTCAAAAAGTCAGATGGGAAACAGAAACGTGAACAATGGAGAGACAGAGACGTCGTCGTCCTTTTGGCGAATTGGTGAATTTTTAAAGTTGAAAACTTTTTTGGTTTTCTAAATTCCAACTTCGATAAATGAAACTTCTTTATTGATCTTTTTTCTATTTTTTGCTCACTTTACCTTGACATTAAAGCAACAAGCTCCGAAACAAAACAAAAAATCTCAGACGAGAGGAAAAAACCCAGAATTGAGTTTAGTACAGAGAGCGATATGCTAGAAGAAAAATGGCGAGTGGATGTGCTGAACGAGGTGGTTGTCCCAGCGATTTCGTCGCCGTTTCAATAGCAGTCATCTGCTTCTTCGTGTATGTTTGTTCATCTTCTTCCTTCTTCCCTTTGAGATGATTTAAAAATCCGTTATTTTCGGTTTTCAATTTAGAAGATCTGGCCTTTTGCGTCTACTGGGTTGACTTGTTGACTCTTTACTTGGGTCAATCTTCAATTTTTCGATATAGAATTTTTGGGTTTAATCGTTTAAGTGTTCGTATGATTTCTCTGAGCTGAATCTCTTTGTCTTGTAAGTGTTTGATACTATGTCTTAGTCTCACCGGATTCAAAAGATCTGTCTTTTTGCTGGGAATTAGGTGTTTCTGCTTCTTGATAGAAGATTTAGCTATTTGCTCTAGCTTGTAAGGTTTGAGAGTATTTCTGAAGCCTTTAGTTATGTCCAAACCAGTTAATGATCTTGTCTCGGAGTTCAAAAAGCATCATTTGATGGCAGTTTCAGTGAATCTTTAGCTTGATTAACTCCTAAGTTGTTCAATTTCTATAATAGTTGATTGCATCTGATGGATTCACTTGTTTGTTTATTAACCAGGCTTCTGTCTCGATCAGTCTTACCATGTTTGATACACAAGGCTCCTCGTACCAACAGTAGCAGTTTCTGGATCCCTGTCATTCAAGTTGTCTCCAGCTTCAACCTTCTCTTCTCAATTGTGGTCAGACATGAAAATCGATTGGTCTTAAGAACTCACTTCAATTGCTAAGTTTCTACGGTAATATTTACCAAAACTGACTGTTTGTTTTACTTATTTTTTTTATCAGATGTCAGTTAATCTGCTTCAGTTCAAGTCCAACCGTTGGCGGCAGTATTGCTATCTTTGGGCAGGTTTGTTTGTAACAAGTGGAACATCACATCATCGAGTCTTGTACAGTTTTGATAAATTTAATGTTTGGTTCCAGTGTGGGTCGAAGGACCACTTGGATTCGGTTTGCTGATGAGCTGTCGTATAACTCAGGCGTTTCAACTATACTTCGTATTTGTCAAGTAAGCATTAATGTGAATACACAACGCTTTCGGTTATCTCTAGTAGTCTAATTGTGTTTCATGATATATAATGTAGGAAACGTCTTCCACCTGTAAAGTCATACATTTTCCTCCCCCTTGTTTTGTTGCCATGGATCTTTGGAGCTACAAGTAAGAATTTTTTGTACTTGGGGAAAAGTTATTTGGGATATTCATTGAATTGGATGATAATGATAAGCTCATAAGTTTTTTTTTGGTTTTTTGGTTTTTTTAGTTATCCATGTAAGAAAGCCTCTCAGCCCTGAATGCCACATGGGTCTTCAATGGACTTTCCCAGTAGCAGGCCTTCACGGTCTTTATGTGCTTGCTCTGATTGCCTTCACAAGAGCGGTTCGACATGTAGAGTTTCGGTTTGATGAGCTAAGAGATCTCTGGAAAGGAATCCTCGTCTCAGGCGCTTCCATCGTTATTTGGGTAACAGCTTTTGTGTTGAATGAGATTGTTACAACAGTCTCTTGGCTTCAGGTTGCTTCAAGATTTGTACTTTTAGTCACGGTATGAAGCTGTTATTACAAAGAATGTGCTTATTACTCATTTTGCACTTTGAAAAAAAAGAAAACCATTCTTTGTTTGTAGGGTGGAGTTCTCGTCGTTGTCTTCTTTTCAATCTCGAGTAACCAACCTCTTCTCTCACAAATCAGCCTGAAGAAAAGAGAACACTTTGAGTTTCAAAGAATGGGACTAGCTCTAGGCATTCCCGATAGTGGATTGTTGTTTCGTAAGGAGGAGTTTCGACCTGTTGATCCAAACGAGCCACTCGATAAGCTTCTTCTCAACAAGAGATTTCGCCATTCGCTTATGGAATTCGCGGATAGGTACTTTATATTCTATGCATCTCTTCATTTTTTTTTCCCATCCATTTTATGAAACAGAGCATATCTTTTATATGTTGTTTGTTAGCTGCTACGCTGGAGAAACGTTGCATTTCTATGAAGAAGTGTATGAACATGGTAAAATCCCTGAAGGTGATTGCATAAGAAGAATCTACATGGCTCGACATATCATGGAGAAGTTCATCGTCGCAGGTTTTATTATCATCTATCTTCTTTCTTCTTCTTCATCAATAACGTACCGGTCTCAGGTGTTCTCTGCTTAACTAACGATTCCGTAAACCGCAGGAGCGGAAATGGAAGTGAACGTATCTCATAAAACCCGGCAAGAGATCTTAACCACTCAAGACCTAACTCACCCTGATCTCTTCAAGAACGCATTGAATGAAGTGATGCAATTGATCAAGATGGTAAATTAACATCTCCCTTTCACTCTCTTTTTCGGCTTTGAGTAGCTTATATATCTCTCTTGATTCTCATTTTCACGGTTTTTTGTTTTTGTAATGATTTTGAAGAACTTGGTGAGAGATTACTGGTCATCCATCTTCTTCATCAAGTTCAAGGAAGATGAAGGGTGCGACGAGGCAATGCATAAGGAAGGATGGAGTTTTTCTTCTCCAAGGATGAGTTCAGTTCAAGGCTCTGATGATCCTTTCTGTCAAGAACATATGTCAAAGAGTTCCACTTCCAGATGCAGTAGTCCCGGTCCTTAACCGGGACTTGACCAGATTCGTATCCGATGTTTATAGAAAACTTAGTCCATATATATAAAACCACCTTCACATTTCTTGTACATGTCCTTCCTGTTATACCAAATTGAAAGACAAAAGTCTGGTTCCGGTTTCGGTTTGGTTTTGAATGATATATACCGGATAAAAAAGGATTTCATATAATGATATAATTTCATACAATTTCTTACAAAAAAAATGAAATGGGATCTTGTGATTTTACATGTCCTTGCAGATGATGTTGCATCATATTATATGAATCATGATGTGTGTTTCATCACACCGTTAGACATAACAATCCACATTTATTTCACGTGGTACAAACATCTTAACACGTTCACTTGCACATTAGTAAGACCCAACTAACAAAGTTTTTTTTTTTTTTTCATTTACAACTTGGGTTTACTCTCTCTACAACGAGAAGGATGATGTACTACTGTTTATATCTCATTTCACAGTAAAAAGTAACTAATTTCAGTAAATCTTTAAATAAATTGCAGGGACTTTCACCCAGCATAATGTAAAAAGTTATTAGAAAAACAAAAAACACAATTTATCTGTAGGTAAGGAGTCTTGTCAATGAATGGAACATGTTTTTAAAATACTGTTTGAGATTAGGAAAATAATACTAATGATTCTCTCATCTCATAAAATATGTATATTATTTCCGAAGAAGTTATTATTTTCCCCCCAAATATGCAATTATTGAGTCTCGTCGGTAGAAACTCTTGTGATGTTCTTCACAAGATAGTATATAAAATTTGTGTGTTCCAAATTATATAGCTTATACTTAAACTTTTTGATTTATTAGTTTATTATTACCAAACTATTCAAAGCTGACATATGAAATCATCATGGCCATCATTAAATAATACTATAAACAGAGGTTTTTTTTTTCTCTAGTTTCTGTTTTGATCGTTGTTTGATTGGGAAAAAATAAACAATATGTAAAAAAGGAGGAATATTCTTGTAGATGAGGCAAACAACTTGCAATTTGTAATTTGCCAGGTTGGTATTGCGTCAAAGCTTATGAAATCTTCCTGAAATCGTGAACATTCATTAAGCTAGGACATACTATTAGAACAATTGTGAGAATAAACAGATGCCATTGTCAAACTCAAAACTATAAGATGGATTTTAACAAATTGAGTTCTTTTGTTTTCAGAGATAATAATAGTAAACGACAAGAAAACAAAAATAGAGATGTCATCATAGTGGATAACTATGACAGGACTCCATGAGTACTAACAAAAAATTAATTAGTGATATCTATTTTATTCTCTAACTATTATAAACTATAACGATCCGTTGGATGGATGAGATAACTTGTTCTACCACTCAAACCCTGTTTTGGATGCACACGTATATATATATGCATTCATGTATGAATCATGATGTTATGTGATATTCCATCATAATTATACGTACTTGTGCGTATATATAATTACAATTATACGTACATATATACACAATCATAATTACCAGAATTTTTTTTATAATAATAAAGAAATATGTCAGATAAATAACAGAATAACGGAATAACTGAAAAATTACTAGCGGAATAAACTAAACTAAATAATATTTTAACTGAATAATTATGAAATGCTGAAAAATTATTTTTAGATTAATTATGTTTTATTTTTTTTAGTTATATTTTTAACATACTAACGTAATTATATTTCAAAAACATAAAAAACGTAAAAACGTGATAAATAACATGAATGATAAAAAATAACTGAAAGAAAACTTGAAAAAAATGCATATCATTTTTATAATTGCTTTATAAGACCGCATAAAGAGACACCACAACTTTTCTTTCCTCTTTATTCACTTTCAATGCGAAATTTGCAGACTTTCCGAGTAGAAAATTTGTGGCTTTTAAAGTTTAATTTGTGAAATTCGATTACTTTTCTTCACCGTCAATTCTTTCATATCCGATCATTCTTTCTCCTATGCTCTCTGTTCAGACAACAAAACCAAACAACAAAAAGAAAGCCACTTTGGTTGTCTGTAAATTTCTGAGGTTCGATTCTTGTTGATGATGAATTGATGATGATGTTAATGGTTTGATGCAGATGGGTTTCCAGAAATTTCGTTCCTTTTACCTAACATGTAATCATATTTATCATCCATCTCAAGTCTGTTGAATTTTCCTTTGATTTTGGTCGCTGATTGAATCTGGGGTAAATGATCAGATTGTGGTGTTAACATTTTTCCAATTTAATTGATTTTTCTCTCTCTGATGTCTCAATTGGCTATCAGAATTGATTTGGTTTTCTGGGTTTGTGTTTAATCGTGGTAAGGTCAAAATATGAGTTTCCGTGTGCAGAAGAGAAGGAGAAGTCCTTTGCGTGTGACAAACAGTTATCTTTTTATCTTCTGTATCAGATCCATCTTTCTTTCTTTCCTTTAGATTCATTTTGTTTCTTATAGAATAACCCCTCATCATTATTGATTACTACACTTCTCTTCCAAGTTTCCTTCTTTCATTCTTGGCCTGATTTGATTTGATTGTTCACAGATTCTTTCTCTGTTCTTGATTACATCGAGTTTGAGAATTTTGACTTTGATCCTTACTGGTTTCTGTATCCTCTGTAGATCAAAAGCTTTAGAACTTGTTGAACAATACTAGACTACAAAATTTGCAGGTGAAATTTTGGAATCTTGGTCTATACTCTGTCCTGTTGTAGGCAAATCAGGACAGAATGTGACATGTCTTACTTCTGGATTTGCAGATACTCTGTGTCCAAAAAAATGGATGCTACAACGAGTGAAACTCCGGGTTTACAGTACCATAACTTACCGGAGCAACCGGTTTCGACTGCTTCTCCTCCTGTGACTCCATTACAGAGGCAAAAGCGTCATTGCTTTGGTGACTCAACTCCTGGAGAGTTCCCTTTAGCAGCTAACCCTTCCATTGTCCTTCATGTTCTCACTGAATGTAGATTGGATCCTCGTGACCTCGCGAATCTAGAGGTTCTGTTTCGCAAAAAAAAGTTTCAAATCTTTTCACTGAAGTTTCAAGGATTGATGGCTCTGCTGATTTGATATTCTTGTTCTTGTTGTTGTTGTTTTAGGCAACATGCTCCTTCTTCAGCCAGCCAGCAAACTTTGCACCGGACTGTAATCTATCGCTATCGGAGCTCGCTGCTCTCGACATGTGTAACAAAAGGGCGATCTTCAAGCCCATGAACGAAGAAGAGCGTCAAGAGATGAAACGCAGATGCGGAGGGTCGTGGAAACTGGTCCTTAGGTTTTTGCTGGCTGGTGAAGCGTGTTGTCGAAGAGAGAAACCTCAGGCTGTTGCTGGTCCTGGTCATAGCATCGCCGTGACATCGAAAGGCGAAGTTTACACCTTCGGTTATAATAACTCTGGACAGCTAGGACATGGCCATACCGATGAAGAAGCTCGGATTTTGCCCATCAGGTCTATTGTCATTTCCATTTCCACCAATCTGTTTAAGTATATAACTACAGAAACTGGTTTTCACAGAGAGTGTTATGGATCGTGTTGTGTAGATCATTACAGGGAATCCGAATCATTCAAGCAGCAGCTGGTGCTGGTCGCACAATGTTAATAAGCGACAACGGAGTCGTTTACGCTTGCGGGAAAGATTTGTTCGGCGAAGCTGAGTACGGTGGGCAAGGGACTAAACCGGTTACAACTCCTCAGGTTGTGACATCTTTAAAGAACATATTCGTTGTGCAAGCGGCGATAGGGAATTTCTTTACCGCTGTTCTCTCCCGAGAAGGAAAGATTTATACTTTCTCGTGGGGCAACGACGGTAGGCTCGGTCACCAAACCGAGTCTGCGGATGTCGAGCCACGTCCTCTGCTAGGCCCGCTCGAGAATGTGCCCGTTGTTCAGATTGCTGCTGGTTATTGCTACCTTCTTGCCTTAACTTGTCAACCAAATGGCATGTGAGTTCTCTTTCTATACACCATTTCTTTAGAACCGGTTCAACAATGCATTAGGCCATGTTCAACATTTTAAAGAACTTTTATCTTTTTTCTACGGTTCTGATTGCAATAGCATATGGTTGTTTTAGGTCGGTTTACTCGGTTGGTTGCGGTTTGGGAGGGAAGCTTGGTCACGGGTCAAAGACAGATGAGAAGTATCCTCGGGTTATAGAGCAGTTTCAGAGACTGAATCTTCAACCTAGGGTGGTTGCAGCGGGTGCTTGGCATGCTGCAGTGGTAGGTCAAGACGGAAGAGTGTGTACTTGGGGTTGGGGAAGATACGGTTGCTTAGGACACGGTAACGAGGAGTGTGAGTCAGTCCCTAAGGTCGTTGAAGGGCTAAGCAATGTCAAGGCGGTTCATGTCGCGACAGGAGATTACACAACTTTCGTGGTTTCGGATGATGGAGATGTTTACTCGTTTGGCTGTGGCGAATCTGCTAGTCTCGGTCACCATCAAGCCGTTGTTGATGAACAGGTTAGTTAGCGCTTTGATTGTTTTCGTGGTCTCGGATACGGTTCTGCTTCGTTGAATCTTATGGTTTGGTTTTGGTTTGGTTTGTAGGGTAATAGACATGCGAATGTGCTGAGTCCAGCGGTAGTAACATCGCTGAAACAAGCAAAGGAGAGGATGGTTCAGATTAGTCTAACGAACTCGATATATTGGAACGCTCATACGTTTGCGCTCACGGAATCAGGGAAGCTGTTCGCGTTTGGTGCGGGTGATAAAGGTCAGCTCGGAGCAGAGCTTGGTCGTGACCAGACAGAAAGGTGTGTACCGGCAAAAGTGGATATCGATCTCAGCTAATAAGCGGTTTGTCGGCAGGAAAAATGCGTTTGACATCAAGAAAACGCAAGGAGATTGCGTTTTTTTTGCTGTTTATGTTCATAAGACTTTGGAAGGTTGTACAAAAGTGGGGAACATAACTACATAAGTTAAGGAACTTGTCTTTAACATTTCATTGTATAGGGTTTTAGGTTATTCTAATTGTTCATTGGTCAGGTTTTTAGGTTATGTTGTTAATAATTGTCGAATTGTTTTCATTTAATCCATTTATTGTAAGGTTCAGTTTTCTATTTCAATTGTATAAAAGGATAGGATGGTTCTTCACGATTATACTGCGCCTAGGAGAAGGCGAATTAGAAGTATGACATTACTTGTATGACACGGGAGCTTATCCCAATGGTAAGGAACATTTATGTATATTAATATAAGTTATGCCTAAACAGAGCCCACATAACCTTCATAGCCACACAGATTAAAGTTGGAAATCTAGAATGAAACTTACTTAAAACGGAGAAGTCTTTTTTAATAACTAGCAACGTTGTCCGAAACCAAAAATTAATCATCAAATGTTCTAGAAATATATATTTGCAAATAATCTCTCATTACTAAATTTAGTTAACGAAATTTGGTCTAAAAAATGCTAGTTTTTTTTTCATTTTTTTTTGCTATATTTGATGAGATGGGGACAAAAATGAGGAAGCTAATTAGGGAAGAAGATATATATGTAAAAATGCATTTCCACTAGCCGTTAATATTTTTGGCAAACCTCAAATTTCGCAATTTGATCAACGACTATATAAATAAAGAGCCTCACCACACAACTAAATAAAATAATAAAGTAAATAAATAAAACGAAAAAACCCATAAAACATTTGAAAAAAAGTTTTTTGGGATTTTTAATTACTTAAATTACATAACATAATGGCGCGCCTTCACCTAGCTCTCCTCCTTCTCTTCGTTGCCGTCTCCGCCGTAATCGTATCAGCTTCTGATAAACCACCGTCAACAACCACTTCTGAAGCTCCCTCCGCAAAAACTCCGACCGACGGAGATGGCGGCGATGTAGCGCGGGTTCCAGGAGGAGACGAAAACTCCATTGGAACAACCGATGATGATGGAGCTGCTAATCCCGGAGATGATGACGTGGCGGTCGCCGGACCTATCGGAAGCGAAACTTCCTATGCAAATTATCCGCCGCCTCAACAAACTTCCGAAAGCTCTGCCACCGCCGCGATTGGCTTTGCTTCCGTAGCTGCTGCGACGGTTGGATCGCTCTTCTATTTTTGAGCTGTGATCGAACGCGTGAAATTAAGCAATTAATAATATTTTTGTAATGAATATTTGTACTATTTTCTTGTAGATATATATATGTGAATATATATTATGTATACGTATATTTGCTCGTCCCTTCATCGATAAAACTGGGACGACATCTCACTGGATTAAACCAGGAGATCCAGATACGTTGTTCAAAAGTGAAAATAAACCAGGAGTATATGTCTATAGTTTTAATTTCATTCAATAATCTTCTTAGCTCAAAAAACTAAATAGAGATGTTCAAAGTTCTTTAACGGCCACAAGAAGATGGGCCGTAAGCTTTCAGAGGCATGGCCCAGTCACGTCTACGCAAGCGCGTCTTCTTCACTTCCCAAAACTCGTGAAGCTAGACGCGCGTGTATGTGTTTCTCCCCTGTTCCTTAGCCGATAGAAGAAGAACTTGCAGAGAAGCGACCATGAAGGTCCAACGGTCAACCTTTTTTGCGGTCAACGGGAAATCAAACCTTCATCACTTTCACTCGACTCAGGTTTTTTCTTTTTTGCGTTGTCAGAAAAAAAGTTCAGTTTTTTTATTCACTTCTGAGAAAACCCATTTGCAATTGCATGAAATTTTTAGGAAAAATTAATTCTTTTTTAATTGGATTGGGATTTCAGGGGAATCCCATTTCTGAGCTCGAATCACGAGAGTTCGTGTCGAAATTACTTGATAGGAAATGGGGATTACAGAGTCCTTCAACCCAAATTCAGCAAATCAGTGTATCTTCTGCTAAAGTGACATGTAAGGAACAAGGAATCGGCAAGTTCTCATTCTTCAACAACACTCGTCCAAATCTCGGAGATGAAGTGTCAAAAGAGAAGCAAGGATCGTCTTTTTACATTCTGAGAGATGATCTTTTGCATCCTCTTGTGAATGGAAACAAAGCTAGAAAGCTCGATGCTTTGTTACCACTTCTTCAAGATCATAAAGTGACTGATTTGGTGAGAATGAGTTATCTTCTTCTACAATGTTATTGTTATTTGCCTTGCCAAGTTTCTTTCTCCAATTGGGTAATTTGGAAAAGGCTTAAAGCTTAGAACTTTACTTGAATATAGGTTACATGTGGAGGTTGTCAAAGTGCACATACAGCTGCAGTTGGTAAAAGTTTGATTCTTTTTTTGTGTTTAGAGAGCTAAGCCGAACTAAGTTTCGATTGAAATGGAAGGTTCTTTGCTTATATCTTGCAGCTGTTTCGTGTGCCGAGAGAGGTCTAAGATCACATTTGCTACTCCGTGGAGAACAGCCCGAGGTTTTGACCGGTTATAACCTCGTTTCAACTATGTATGGGAATGTTGAGTATATTCCAAGATCGAGGTATGCGAATAGAGAGGAAATGCTGAGAACTCACGCGGATCTTGTCGCTGGGGAAGACGGTTCTGTCTTATGGGCCAGAGACATTGTTGAGGGACTTGAGGCTATGGATGCTGCAAGAATGGATGATTTTTCAAATTCCAAGTCTTCTCCTAGAAGAAAGGTTCTGATCGTCAATGAAGGTGCAGGAGATGCTCTTGCATTACTCGGTAAACATAGATTTTGGATATAGCTTGTGTAGTAGAAGGAACTGATCAAGATTATCATTTATGTGTAATTGTTAACGAGGGGGCTTTGTCACTACGCAGGTATGTTTCGGTTAGTGCAGTATTTGTCACAAGATCATCTACTTGGGAAGAAGAGTCCGGTCAAATTTGTAGTTGATGCTGGTACTGGAACAACTGCTGTGGGTTTAGGTGTTGCAGCTATGTCTTTAGGGTTAGGCTTTTGTTCACAAGATTTATCGATACTCTTTGTGTCTGTTTTCTTTTCAAGTTTGACCTAAGCTTTAAGCATCTTGATTTACAAGCTCGCTTAAAAAATTCTTATCAGGCTTCCATGGGAGATCAATGCAGTGATGCTAGCTGATACACTCGAAAAGTACAAGAGACATGAAGATCGGTTGATAAAAGAATTTACGAGGCAGTTTCTTCCCTCGATCGTCTGCAGCAGCTTAGATATGATCAAATGGGTAGATCGTCGAAACCGGAGAAAGTATATGCCAAACCAATTCATCGTTTAGTTCAGCACAAGTTTGAAGCTTTGTAGTAATTTGATGTCTATGTACTTTTGTTCTTGCAGATTTGGGAAGGTTTTGGAAGGTGAAGTGGAGATGTGTCGGAGAATAGCGCAAGAGACAGGGGTCTTAGTTGATCCGATGTACACTTTAGCTGCTTGGGAGACAGCAACAGAGCTTGTGCAGGACGAGAGATCGAGCATTGTAGTGATGCTTCACACTGGAGGCACTCTTGGGATGTTTGGTCTTGCTCAAAGATACAAATCTTGCTTCACTAACTTGAAAGATTAGTTAGGAGAGGCCTCAGAATTTAGTTTTAAATAAATTTTGGTTTGGATAATCCGGTTCTAGTAGCTTCAACCGAATTCTATTGATTAATTCGGCTCAATTCGGTTCAGATAAAAATGTATAGTAAATTGGTATGCCATTGTACGGTTCACATACGTTTTCGATTTTATTTGTTTTCTTCTAATTTTTAAATGAGATAATCAAAACGGAAGCAAACGTGGTAAGCAAGAAGTTGTATTGAGTAATATTATTATTTTATCTCGAAAAAAAAAAACGAAAACCAAGATTATGGTTTCGGTCGTTGGTTTTGGGGAGTCTTCTTCTCGAACCGAGATGTTCATGTGCACGTGTGTTTGGTCACTACTTCGTGTTTAACAACACTTTCTTCACTATACAAATATCCACAGTAAACAACATTTTTTTTTTATTCCACAAAACGATTGCTTTTGAAGATCCTTGATTCTTAATTATACTCCAGTAAGCATGCAAATTGTGAATGCGTAATGTGACATGGCTTAAGACTGACGAGAAGAAAGTCTCTGCAAGACTTGAAAGTTAATTAAGACTCTAGCTAGCTAGTGCCGACCTTAAATGTTTTGGAGATTAGACACATATACGTAAGTTTATATATAGATAAAAAATTAAAAATATGAAAAGTTCTTTTTTTACTCAATGTACAAAAAAACATCCCCATTTCGTGGACATGGTTAATAAATTGGCTTTTTAGAAGAAGAAAAAAACGTTCAACAATACGGTGATTATAAACTCTCCTAATACGATTTCTGAACCGCATATAGTTTATTTTTACAATTTTATCTGCAGGCAAATAAAATGTTATCGTTTATCAATCCTGATTTATATGCACCATCCACCGAATTATACCATTTACCAAATTTCTATCGTTGATTTCCTCTCCTTCATTACCAAATAGAGATAATTTTTTTTTTTTTGTTTCCCTCTGTCTACAAATTTCTTCAAATGTTCAAGAAAAGCCTGAACAACTGAAAATTAAAGATTGAACATTTTCCACGTACTCAGTATTCGTGTCGCGTAGAGGGACTTTAATCTATACTACATATATTGCCTCGTAAACCAAGAAACCAAAGCCTACAAAAAGTTAGTAGGGGTATATACGTAACTTCATCAAAAGGATATAATCCGATTTATCTTTTTATAAAAACAGTCATTTTCGAGAAACTTAAATGCTTACAAATTGGAAAGACATAAAATAATAGCAAAAATAAACATTTGTTCTCTTCCACTGTCTTGTCTATAGAGTAAAGAGAGAGAGAGAGACGACGTTACAGTATCTCTCACACGATCAAGAAAACTTCGCATTCGCCGGAAAAGAATCATTACCCCCTAAGAAAAAGAAGAAAAAAATCCTTTTAATGGAAGATTCTAGAGCTTTTCCGTTCGCCGGAAATTTAGACCCTCGAGCTCAAGAGTTTGTACCACTAAACCCTATCTCCTCTCGTTTTTACTTTCCGTACACTCCTCCACCGCCGCCGCTTCAACCGCTTCCTCCGTCTTCGTACGGATTATCTCCGCCGGAGCCAAGAGTTTTCACGTTCTTTAATCTCCCACCACATCCGATGATGTTTTCTCCTCCTCCACCACCACCACCACCGCCGCGTCCGTGTTTTAACGGCGCTTCGGCCGCTCAACGGCTTCCTCCGACGTCAAATTCGCCGACGCGATCTCTTTCTCTGATATCCGTACCGCGTGACGTCACCGAGACGACGATGAGACGCGACTTGGAGGTATTCGGCGACGTGCGTGGCGTGCAAATGGAGAGAATCTCAGAAGGAATCGTGACCGTCCATTTCTACGATCTCCGTGACGCCAAAAGAGCGGTTCGGGAGCTTTGCGGCAGACACATGCAGCAACAAGCTAGACTCGGCGGTAACGATAACGGCATGAGCGTTTGGAGCTCACCGTCTTCTTCATCGGCGCGTGGCTTTGTTTCCGGTAGACCTGTATGGGCCCAGTTTGTAGTTCCGGCCACAAGCGCCGTTCCCGGAGGTTGTAACCAAGGAACGTTGGTGTTATTTAACTTAGACCCTGAAGTCTCTTCCATTGCTCTTAGACAGATTTTCCAAGTATACGGTATGGTTCTTTTTTTTTTTTTGTAATTTTCTATGTCTTGATTTTGTTAGATTTTTTTCAGTTTTGTTTCCTCGATTTGTGGATATGTCAGGAATTAAAACATTTTCAAAGACTAAGTCATCTATAATTCCAATATTTAATCAATCATGGCCTTGTTTACATGCTATGGACATTTAATTAATTTTAGTATAAAGACTGTATTGGACCGTCTGTTAAATTATGTGAGAATGATATTGTTGTACTATTGTCTTCAGGTCCGATCAAAGAGTTGAGAGAGACACCGTACAAGAAACATCAAAGATTCGTTGAATATTTCGACATAAGAGATGCGGCGAGAGCGTTTGATGGAATGAATGGTGAAGAGATTTGTGGGAAGCAAGTTGTGATCGAATTTAGCCGACCAGGTGGACTTAAGAACAAGTTCAGGTCTTTTAGGCAACCGCAGCTACCGTTTCAACCGCTCCAACCACCACCAAATCTAGCTCATCCTTTGAGGCAGTCTGCTGCTTCTCTCATGAAGAATAAAAACAAGAACGTGAGCCCTAATAATGAAGTCGTTGATGTTGAAGCTTCTATGCGTTCGTTGTGTATCGTCGATGATGACGGTAATAAGACCCGAGGACCTGAATCGGAAACAAAGAGCAAGAATGTGGTTAAGGTGGGGAAGAAAAGACAGATGAAGAACATGGAACTAAGTAAGTTTCTTATCAGTGAAGAAATCATGGATGATCCAAGTTGCAGAGATCCACGTACCACTTTGATGATCAAGAACATACCAAACAAGTACAGGTTCGGCGTTACAATCTAATTATACGTATTTTAAATTTTAGAAGCTCTATTTTCAATTATGAGTAATACGAAGACTAGGATGGTTAAAGAATAAATCTTCCTAATCTTTCAATAGAGAATTTGTATGGATTTAAAGTTGGGAGCGTTTTTCACACTCTAGGATGGTTGAAGATTTAGATCTTTCTAATCTTTTATTAAAATATTCACATGGATTCGTGGGCTAGTAAGATGCTGTTTACATATTCAAAGGTTTATATTCTAGATAAAATTCTCTTATGTTATGTTCCATCAAGCTTTTGATTATCTTCTTGTTTGATATTACATTAATTGACTAACATTTCCCGGATGCTCTTCTATTTCAGATTCTTGTAGGTTTTTGTTATAGATTCTATTGAACTTTTCTAAGGTTCTATATTGTTTTTCTTTTTTTTATACAGTCAAAAGCTGCTGTTGAATATGCTAGACAATCACTGCATTCACATCAACGAGGCGATCACTGAGGAAAGCAACGAACACGAGTCTCATCATCAGCCCTTTTCTTCTTATGATTTCGTGTATCTTCCCATGGATTTCAAGTAATCAAACATCAAAATTCATTGACTATATACTAGTGCTTATATTTATAACTAAAATCATAATAACTCTATTCTTTTGCTGTGTTATATTAGCAACAAGTGCAATGTTGGTTATGGGTTTGTGAACATGACATCTCCGGAGGCAGCTTGGAGGCTTTACAAGACGTTTCATCTTCAACGTTGGGAGGTTTTTAATTCTCGTAAGATTTGCCAAGTCCAATATGCGAGGGTTCAGGTATATATACATACACATATTAATTCCCAAACTATGCTTGAGTTTTAACCCTCAAACTGTTATGCAAACCCATGGAAGATTCACATATACCAAAGTTAAGCTATATATATGTTATAGACTTATAGTCGTGGAACTTTATGACAATGTGTTTACTTTGTTACTTTTGATCGTCAAAAAGGGTTTGGAGAATCTAAAGGAACACTTTAAGAGCTCAAAGTTTCCGTGCGAGGCTGAGCTTTACCTTCCGGTGGTTTTCTCGCCTCCACGAGATGGGAAGCAGTTAACAGAACCTGTCTCTATCAACATTAACGGCTGCACTAAACTCAATACTAGTCATCATCTTGAGCCAATGGACGGTCAAGAGACTCAAGACCACTATGTGAGTGGATCATGTTGCGGCAGTGACCATGATAACAGTCAGGAATATGGATTTTCCGGCAGTAGCGTAGATGGTGGTCGCAGTATCTCCGTAGAAGGAGAGACATCTTTGTAATTGTTGTTTGTAATGCAAACCATAATATATCATAAGTGTAATTAAGTAGACGTAATTTTGGTTAGATTTTGTACTTTTTTTTGCTTTAAGCTTGGTTTGACTTTAGTCATTCGACAATGCTTAAATCTCATGCAAAAGTTCTACATAGGGATAGTTTGGTTGAACGAGCCAAAGAACAATGAAATTTAATTGATTTTGATAAACGATTAAGTGATGTTTTTTTGTGTATAGAATACATTATTCTAAATCCTCGCAAATTTCTTTGTTATATTTGAGAATATGTGAATCACATAAATCTTATTAAAATGTCATGATTATTTATCTTACAAAGTTAGTTATTCATTTTGTTTCAGCTTAGACAATGGATACATAAATTAGTAGTATTTACTATTTTGTAATTAAATTCCTTATTTTCGAATGAACGAAATGGTGAAAAATGGATTGGAGAGTGGTATTGGGTTGACCTAGGGTAAGAGTTCCTTTTCAGGCAAAATACTATCTTTGTTTAGCTGTCTTTTTCAGTGACCTGTGAAAGTGACAATAGAGGGCTCTGTGCTAGTGATGATCACATTCTGTATCTCCCTTCTGATTCATGGGGCACTGACACGTGGTGTCATCTCCACCTTTTGTGTGGTGCCTGGCAGAGTTGATAGTGATCGTTGACTACAACTTTAAAATTTTCTGATGCTAGATGAATCTTGACATGTTCTTGTGATGGTGCTAGATGTGTTTAGTTTAAATATAATCTTTCAAAATTTTAGGATCATGAAATATTGAAATCCCGAATTGGAAATCATTTTTCGGTTAATATTTGGCTGATTTAGATTTAGATTTAGATTTCGATTTAAATTTATTTTTCTATATAAAGATTAAAATCGATAGAATTGAAAATCTTTAAACCAAATCCAACCTATAATAAAAAAATTCCCTTCTTTGTGAGAAAAGCAAATGATACTACATAAAAGATTTGATAAGGTCGTCAGTGAAAACATATTATTGCCTTGTCGTTTAATATTAATTTAACTATTAATTTATTCAACAATCTAATATTCATTTCTCATAAAATTTATTTTCAGTGGATTTGATAATTACACATAAAATCCATTACTCATAAAAATTTATCAATTTCAAGTGAAAAGTACACTAGAAAAGTAAACAAGACAAAATGATATGTTTTCTGATGCACGTTCAATTTCGCTTTGTTCCTTTCACCAGACAGAACAATTCTACTAAAAAAAGCGGCCCAAACTTATACAACTGAGATCAAACAGTTGCTTACGGTACGTAACAACATGGGCCTACAAAATAAAAGCCCATTAATGGCATAACCCTAATTTGATCTCTCGGTGTCTCTCTCTATAAGAGCAAGACCCACTAATCCCTAAATTTTCAAATGCTAGTCGATCTCCATAGCCGTCGACTTCCGATCTTCTTCCTATCCGCAATTACACTTTTTATTTTTCTTTCAGTTTCTGTTTGATTGTTTTCGAGATCGCTTTCGAAAGGCGTTGCGCTCTTCGTCTAGGGTTTTACGTACCCTGAAGGGCGTGTCACCGGAAGCGTAGATCCAAAATCTTCAATTCGATCGATAGGATGCGAATTCGGACTCGTTTCGAATGAACATACCTCGATCCCGATGGCTAATTTTTTTAACCATCGATGAATCGTGTTGAGAAATTTAAATTTGGTTTTCTGAAATTTCAAAATTCCTGTTAGATCTAAATTGATGGAATAGAATGGAATTGCTTCATAATGGTGAACTCTCTTAGATTTTAAAGTGAGAGATGTTCAAGTTTCCGGAGCAAAGATTAAACTGGCCAGAATTTAACAGCTCTGTGTTTAATCTCTATTTTCGCAGTGTTACCTGTCTTCTGGTATATCATCAACGTCACTAAGTCCATCATCCACATTATTTTTTTTCCTAATTAACATGAATTTTTGGTTTGTATTTTTTGATTTCGGAATAAAAAGATTTAATTTGATGACCTTTTACCCTATAATCAATTATCAGAACAATCTTTAACCTATTTTGTTAGAATAAACATGTAATTAGATTGAACCGAAAGAACACTCCGTTGACCCTAAAGATGGGCTTGAATGAATTGATAGGCCCAATTGTATTTAAACTTCTAACTAAATGTGGAAAAAGTATGATAGTGTGGGGACGTCCGATTGCAAACCGAACCCAACTGTTTTGATCTTAGAAACCGAATTTCTCTCTTTTGCAAATTTGAAACCTGAAAGACGAAACTGCATTTTCCATTTGCCATTGTATACAATACTGAGTAAAATGAAAAAATCTAATTCGAAAGTGTAAAATTTTGCATTTGTAGCCTTTCATTCTTGTTGTTTCTTACGGCACTTAGGGCACTGCCTAACAAGCACAATTTGCATTTTCGACCCCATACATTACTTTACGTGTAAAACAAGAAAACGTCGTGTTCTTGAAGTAGACCAATCCCCGACAACTGTGCGTGTCCTCCTTAAGCAAAAAAAAAATCACCAAACGCATGATGAATTCTCTCTTTGAATATTCGTTTTACATATCTTTACGAAACATAAACTAAAAACAAAACCTTTAATACCACCAATTTTCATGTTTGTTTGTAGTTTCTACAAAAGAGAGAAACTACACAGACAGTGTCAGATAAAAACTCGGTAATGTCGTCATTGATAGATCGCATCTCTGCCCATCTGTGTCTCCAAGACGTATCAATTGCGTTGTTAGGTCTATTTCTTTTCTGTTGCTTGCGAGCGAAGCTAACCAACAAAGGCGGACCCATAGAATGGCCAGTGTTTGGGATCACTCCCGAGTTCTTCCTTCAAGTTCACGACATTTACGGATGGGTCACACGGTGTTTGACTAGAAGCCGAGGAACGTTTCCTTACCAAGGAATCTGGTTCAGTGGATCTTACGGAGCCATGACTAGCGTCCCTGCAAACATCGAGTACATGCTCAAAACCAACTTCAAGAACTTCCCAAAAGGAGAGTTTTACAAAGAGAGGTTCCGAGATTTGTTGGAAGAAGGTATCTTCAACGCGGATGATGAGTCTTGGAAAGAGCAGAGACGGATCATCATAACAGAGATGCATTCGACTCGATTCGTCGAGCATTCTTTTCAGACCACGAGGGATTTGATACAGAGGAAGCTTTTGAAAGTGATGGAGAGTTTCTCCAAATCGCAAGAACCTTTCGATCTTCAAGAGATTCTTCTGCGGTTAACGTTTGATAATATCTGTATCGCGGGTCTCGGCGATGATCCGGGAACTTTGGATGATGATCTTCCCGATGTTCCATTCGCTAAAGCTTTTGAGGAAGCAACAGAGTCTACTCTGTTTCGGTTCATGATTCCGCCGTTTTTGTGGAAACCTATGAGGTTTTTCGATTTAGGGTATGAGAGAGGGATGAGGAAAGCGGTTGAGACGGTTCACGGGTTTATAGACAAGATGGTTGTGGAGCGAATCAAGATGCTTAAAGACGAAGGAACATTAGAGAAGAACAAATCCGATGTACTCTCGAGGCTAATCCTTATCGAGAGTCACAAAATAGGCAATGAGAATGATCGATTCACCATCAAGTTTTTCAGACAGTTCTGCACAAGTTTCATCTTAGCGGGACGAGACACGAGTTCCGTTGCGCTCACGTGGTTCTTCTGGTTGGTAACAAAGCATCCGGAAGTTGAAAAGAAGGTCCTCGGTGAAATCAGAGGAATCTTGAGCCAAAGAGAGAACAATCTTGAAGAAACAAAGAGTTGTTGTGTCTTCACAGTCAAGGAACTCAACGATATGGTTTATCTACAAGCGGCATTGTCGGAATCTCTTAGGCTCTATCCACCGATTCCAATGGAGATGAAACAAGCGACCGAAGAAGACGTGTTTCCAGATGGAACTTTCTTGAGGAAAGGTTCTAGGGTTTACTTCTCGATCTATGCAATGGGAAGAATGGAATCGATTTGGGGGAAAGACTGTGAAATGTTTAAACCAGAGAGATGGATACAAGATGGGCAATATGTGAGTGATGATCAGTTTAAATACGTCGTCTTCAATGGAGGTCCAAGGCTTTGTTTAGGCAAAACATTTGCTTACTTGCAGATGAAAATGGTGGTTGCTTCCATCTTGTTGAATTACTCAATCAAGGTTGATCAAGAACATGTCGTTGTTCCACGAGTTACAACGACTTTGTACATGAAACATGGTCTGAAAGTCAGGATCACGCCAAGATCTCTTGAGGAGAAGAAGCAAGATTTATAAGTAAAGGAGAAAAACAACTAAAATTGTTCCATAGTACTTAAAACAATATTTGTAGATTAGGCAATTAAACAATATTTGTTAGTAAAATGTACAGTGTGTATTATTTGTAATGCAGATTAATATGTTATACAAGAATTGCAAATCAAAAGGTACATATCCTAAATTGGAAAAAAAAAACTTATACGTATGATCATCTCTCTCGCACATTTTTTTGAATACATTGTTAGACCAATAAAGGTTGCTGAAGAAATGGACTAATCTGAAGAAAAGGTTTATGCTTGATTCTGCTTCTTGTGCTAGTAACAAGCTTAAACCATTGGCTTTTTGGATCGCAAATCGCTTTTCCTTCTAGACATTTGCATTTGTTCGTGACAATGTTGTTAGTATCCGAATCCACATCCAAACAAACAGAGACTCCATTCTTTGTTATCGACGAGAGCTGCATCTTCGATTCAGACAGAAGTTTCCATTTTGAGCAGCGAGTTTCTGAGAAAAACAGTCGCAGCTTCACAGACTTTCCTTTCTCATAAGCTTTTAAGCACAAGATTCGTTCTTCGGATAGTGATAAAACTCGATGAGAAGAAACTCTGAAGCTTTCTGGTCTATCGCAAGAACCGAGCTTTAGTTGAAACAACGATTTCCTCACGATGCAAAGTCCACTCGAAGGATGAAAAATTATTTTCTTTGGTTGAGTTTCCATTAAACCTGGTCCTGAATATTGCATATGGATAAACTTAAATCTATAAAGTATTAACAAAACAATAGTGTGAAAATGCAAATGAATAAGAGCATCAATTCCTAATTGTGTATGTACCTTGAAAAGGAGGCTGAATTGCAGAAATCATCTGCAAAATGGTTGAGTTCCTCACGCTTGACCAATTCCAATCCAAGACTCCATAAGATTCATCTGAATCAATTCTTTTGTCTCTTACGTAATAGCTTCCCGCAAGAGTCCATAGTGCCCAATCTATATCAAGATCCGCTGCTAGAGCCATGAAGCAACTCAGAAACCTATTGTCATTCACATTACTCCCTCTTTGATCAATCCCAAACTCGCTCACGAACAAAGGAAACCCTTTCTCCAGCAAGAAACCGGACATCTTCATGATCTTTTCGGTTTCTCTCCCGCAAATCTTGTTCAAGTTATCTCCTTCCCAAGAACTCCAAAATCCGTACCAATGGATCTCAAACACCAGTTTCCTCTTGAAGCTAACTTCAAACGGTCTGTCTCGGAGAAACGATAAGTCAGCATCGTAGTTTAAACCCGAGACAATGACAAGAACGTCCGGATTCACCGAGTGGACAGCTTCAGCGCCTAATCTCATGTACTTGTACCAATCTTTGATGTTCTGTTTAGGACCTCTAAGCTCATTCCTTAGACTCATACCAACCACATTTGATGAGACATTAGCAAAGATTGATGCCATCTTCGTTAGCCCTTTGATCCAAAGATTAGGGTTTAAATCTTTATCGCCGAAGAACCCGTTTCCATCATTGTCACTGCAACACCAACCAGGTTTGCTTATGTGATTGTCTAAGATCACCATTAATCTGTGATTTCCAAGACTAGAAGCCACTTCCTGTTCCATAAGAAGAACAAAACTCTCATCTTTCTTAATCCTGGAACCCTAACTGATTATCACGATTCTTTCTCTAAAAAGCTAAATCAACAACACAACAAAAAAACACTCAGAATTTTCCAGAGAAGACTAAGCAGACATTAAAAACTCAGAGTTAGATCACAACCTAGAATTAATGCTCGATTTCAATAAAAAAAAAAAATTTCTCTAGTGTTTGGACTATTACTTTGGGGTCAAGAAGAAAAAAAAAAGTCAAAGCTTTCTGGAAAATTCAAGAACCCAGAAGAAAAAAGTCAAAACTTTCAGGCAAATTCAAGAGCCCATGTAAGGAAAATTGATATATAAATATATTTATTATACCTGGAAAGCTTTAATCAGAGGAAGATCGAGAATAGAGGGATTATTAGCTTGAAAACCAGAAACAGCTTCAGAAAGACCAAACTTGCGAAGGGATTGTCTCACTGTCATAACTCCAGAAAACGATTCATCGGTGGCTAAGTAGAGAGGCCAAGTCAATCTAACGCAATTGAAACCCATCGAAACAATCTCCTCGGAGATCAAATCCAGTGGCTGCTTGCTCAACCCTTCCGCCACCGCAGTTTCCAGATGCGACGGCCAGTTGACGCACGTGAGCTTCACGCGCCGCCCTCTGTTGCCGTCGCCGTCGTCGACGATCCAGCGTGTGTCGGTGGAGAGAGGGAAAGCGAAGGAGATGTTGGTGATTACGAGCAGATGAAGAAGAAAGACAGAGATGATGAAGAATCTTTCCATGTTGTGTCTCTCTGCTTCGTCTAACCTCTGTCTTTTATTACCGCCAACATGTATCTATATAGTTCGAAGCAGCGTGTAAAATGGCCAATTTATTTTATTAATTTTGTAGTAAGTGGAATGGTCATGTAATTAGTTTATAAATTTGATTATGTCTACTTTTTTTTTTTACGTGTTTTCTTAATAAGTAGGATATGATTGTATCTTTTTCTATAACATGATGATTCGTTCAAATTTTATATTTTTAGGCTCAAAATTGATTAGAACACCCAATGAATGCTTAATTAACATTTTTTTAAATTTGAACATGCATTTGTATTGATATATCATATATAAATTAACAATGAGTAAAAATGTAACACATTATTTCATATACTATTAGTTACGTAAGATGAATTAATCAAATATAATATTAGTCTCCATGGAGAAGATGCTTGTGAATAAAATTCGTTGAAATTAGTCAGATTCAACCATAGATCTGTTTTCTGCGTAAGCGTCAACTTAGACAGTCGGAAAGTATTTCCAGCAATAGCAAAATAGTCTTTATTAGAATCTTCATGTAGAGAAATTACATATAACAAACAAGGTTTACAAGTACAAGAGTTACTTAAAAAAAAATTTCTCATAAATAAATCCTCATTTATTTACTGACAGGAACGATCTTAAACCACTGACTTGTTGGATCACACGAGCTGTCTTCTCCCTTCACACACTTGCAGTTCGTAGCCACGAGGTTTTTGTCTCCATCGACATCAAGACAAAGCGAGTTAGACTTGGCAGCTAAGAGCATATTAATGGAGGGTGAGACAGTCTGCCATTTCGCCGAATCAGGGCTCGAGCAGCTCTTCTCAGTGAGCGTTGCCGGCTTGTCTAATCCTGTGTTCTCCAAGCATAGATCCTTGTTTCTAATTTTCAAGGTGTTGTCAAGAGTGTAGCTCCATGGTTGAGATGCATTACATAGACCGAGAGTGACCTTGTTTGGATCTAATACATTTTGTTGCACGCAAAGTCCGGTTAACGGGTGAAAAACAAGATTGTAGACATCGGGTACAGAGGCCGGTCCTGGTAAACCAAGTTAACCAAAGAATAGTGAGATGTTGATTATGTTCGACATTAAGAAAATTGTATAGCAATAAGATGAGCAAATACTCCAGCTAAAAACTCTTTAAAATATCAAAATATTTCTACGTACCTTGAAGCGTGGATTGAAGCAAAGACAATCTTTGCATGAAACTCTGGTTTCGAACACTAATCCAATCCGAATCCAACACACCGAAATACTCATTCATGTCGGTCACACCATCTCTGAGATAATAACTTCCTTGTAGAGCCCAAATCGACCAATCAACGTCGTTTTCCGCCGCCCAGCCTAATAGACACCCGATATACCGGTTATCGTTAACGTTTCCGCCTCTCAAATCGATTCCAAACTCACTAAGAAACAGCGGGAAGTCCCGGAGGTTGAAACCGCCTCCGTTGTCGATGCTTTTTACAATCTCGCTGCATGCGTCGTTAGGGTTTTTGGAACTCCATACTTCTGTGTTAGTGAAAGCGTATCGATGGAGCTCAAAGACGAGTTTTCCGGAGAAAGTTAGGGTTACAGGTCGTGATCGGACGAAAGAGAGGTCGGTATCGTAGTTGAGGCCAGAAACGATTACAAGTACGTTAGGGTTTGCTCCGTGAACTGCTTCGGCTCCTTGTTGCATGTACCTACATGCATATATATATATTGAAAACATTAAAAATACAGCTAATTTTGTTTTTCTTCATTTTATTATTATATATCTCATTTAGCATTCTCATTTTTCTTTATATTATATATAGTTTTGTACGTGTGTGTGTGTACATGTGTAACCGTTATATATCTCGCCAATGCAATACTACAAGCTAAACCAATATAAGAAAGTCAAGTGGGATATACAATATACGTACTTGAACCAATCGTCGACGTTTTGTTTATGTCCTCTAAGTTCGTTTCTGAGGCTCATACCAACGACATTGGAGACATCTTTGAAGGTTGTGGCTATCTTGGTCAGACCGGTGATCCATGTGGCAGGGTCAAAGAATGTGTCGCCGAAGAAACCGTTTCCGTCATCGTTACTGCAGCACCACCCTGGTTTGGTCAAGTGGTTGTCTAATATTACCATCACGTTATGGTTTCCCAACGTAGTCACCACACTCTGCAAAAACGAAAGACAAGAAGAATTTTTGTTTTCAATGGTGAGTGATATTTTTTAAAAAAGTTTTTATTGGTAATACCTTTGGATTAGTTTCCCAATTATTTCAATAACTTTTTGGCCAATTTGATAAAAATTCAATGAGAACAAGAATTTAGTGTTTTCTTTAATGAGAACGTATTCGAAAACAAAATTTAATGAGAACAAGAGTTAGTAAACAAAATTTCATGAGATCAACAAGAGTTGGAAAGATGAAAAGTTACAAAATTTGCAGCGATTGTAATTTGAAAAGCTATTTACCAACTAATAACTGTTAATATAAACTTACATTCATTTGTTCATCTATACGAGTTTTTTTTTATATATAATTTAAAACATACAGAACACAATACTAGTAAAGCACAAGTTATAAGATTTGTTAATTTTTTTAGATTTTCCAAAAAACATCCAAGATATTAGATAGGGTTTATATACCTTGAAAGCTTCGATGAGTGGAAGATCAATCATGGAAGGGTTCTTGGTTTGGAAACCAGCTATGTCACTTTCAAGACCAAGACTTCGAAAAGATTCTCTCACAGTAACTTTATTAGCCAGTGTCTCATTCGTAGCCAAATCAAGTGGCCAGGTTAACCTAATACAATTGAAACCCATTTCCACAATCTTCTTGGCCACGTCATCAATCGGTTGCTTGCTCAGCCCTTCCGCCACCACAGGTTGCAGATGCGATGGCCAACTCGCACACACCAGCTTCACTCTTTGTCCTTTTTCGTCGATGATCCAACGAGACTTTGTAGAGAGAGGATAGGCCATGTATTTTGAGATGAAGGAGAACAATAAGAAGAAGATGAAGCAAAACATGCGTTTTGGCACTTTTGTTGTCTTCATGTTTGATTCGTTTTGAAATTTAGGCGTTAATTTTTTTTTTTTTCAGGTTGGTTGATGGAAGAGACATATATGTACATATATATACATATAGAGGGAGCGGAGGATCCTTATTTTACTTAGTTTTAGAATAAAACATATACTATAAAATGGAAAATTTTCAAAAAAAGTATTCAAGAGTTATTAAAAAAAAGCATAAAATCATTCTTATATATTTTACTTAGTTTTAATACTGCTTATGTTAACTGGAAAATTTTAGATTTTTAGAAATAAATCAGGGACACATGATTTATTGGTTGGACACTTAGGCTGTATCTATAATCTTTTTCTTTTTCTGTTAGACTGTTTGGAAAGCAATTTGGTCCATATGAAGCAAACTAGGAAAACAACATATATATAACACTGTAAACCATATCTTCTATTCATTTTTCATTTCCATTAATTCTTCAGAATATATATTTGTTGTTTGTTTCATTCCTTTTTTTTTAATTTTATCTTACTGTTTCCACACTTATAGTAGGTCAAAATATCCATGAACTACATGAACCTAAATTTGCCAATAGAAAAATTAAAAACTTTATTTAGTCTGTAAATAAACTAAATTGGTTTTAAACCTAAATTTGATCCATGCGATATATGAAATTTGTCCACATAAAAATTAACCCGGTCAATGGCATAACTTAAATTTGTGCACCTTTGAAAATTATAGACACATGTATGTATTGTCTTTTATTAGTCAACTGAATTTGTTCACAAAATTTAAAATTGCTACTAGAATAATTTTATTCTGGTTTGGCTTGCCACGCTATTTCTAGTTTGAGTATAGAATAACAGTTTTGATGACACAAAAAAAAAAGTTTGTTCATAGTATCTAATATTTTTGCTCCACAGCCTAAACTTATGTACATAAGCTAATGTAACATCCACCTATTAATTTTCTAACGGTATATAATCCTTTTAACTTTATAATCAAATTACCATTCTTCTAACTCAAAATCAATATTTTTCACATGTATAGAACTTAAAATAGTCATACAAAATCCAACCTAAATTTGAAAGAGTATTTTAAACCAAATAAAAGCTATTGAAACCAATCAAATACTCTTTTCCTTTTGATCTTGAAATTCATAAATCTTTATTTTTTTTGTTTTAGGCCTAGGTCCAGAGTGTTACAGCTAAGTCCAACCCCTAGAGATCTTTGGATGTCTAAACAAATATTTTTAATAATAAAATTGAATTAAAAAATAGTTCATGGTGTTTTATATTTTAGACCAGTGTTTAAATTAAGACACCAATGTCTAAATTAAGAACGCACATGTGACAAGTTGTGAGTGGACGATGAAAAAGTCCAGTTTCAGAATTGTACTTTTATCATTTATATGTTTTCATATACAGTAAAACCTCTATAAATTAATAATGTTGAGACTCTCAAATTTTATTAATATATAGAATTATTAATTAATCAAAAATTTATAATTATTAATTTATCAATTAATTGATTTTTTTAATTTATAAAGATCTTTTTCGGTTCGAATTTTTAAATGTTCACTAAACAAAACAAAACAAAAAATAATATTTTCAACAATATAAAATTTATTTAAAAATATCATAATAATAAATTTAGAAGATAAATCAAACAAAAATTATAAACTTGAAACAACAATATTATTATATTTTAGTATATTATATTATTTATATATGCCTAAATATATAATTATTAATTTATATTATTATTGGGACCATACTTTTACATATTACTTTTTAAAAAGTATTATATTATCGAATTATGTTAATTTTTACATTGGTCCGACTTGGGACCGATAAAAATTATTAGTTTATGGTGATTATTAATTTATCGTGTATTAATTTATATAGGTTATATTTTTGAAAATATACTATGTTTTAAAAGTTGTTAACAAAAATTTTTACTTAAATTTATTACATCCATCAAAAGTGTCTCCATTGTATGCTAAAAAATAACAAAATACTACAAAGTGTCTTATATATATAAAGTACCAAAAAAATTAATAATTAATCAATAAAACTCATATTAATAGTGTCTCTATTGGGCTTCTTCTAACCACTTTAATTCCTATACAAACTACAAAGACAGATTTTTCTTGGGTTGGCTGCCGTCCGCCCTTCCAAACTATACGCTGTCTACTTAATCCCCCCAAACTAAAGACCTTTGTTTATTCTCACCCAAACAATTTATTTTCTGTCTATTTCTTCAAATTCAATTAAAAATTAAAATCACGATCAATTTACAAAATCGTATTTTGGTTAGATTACGTTTTGGAGGAAAATATGCAGAAAACAAATTATTTGGGTGGAAATATGCGGAAGTGTAGTCTAGGGGGAATATGCAGAATTTATTAAGTTTAGGGGGCTGAGCGCAGTCAATTTAATTTTTAGGTTTTTTAAAATATTTAACACATGATTAGTTTAATTATATCCATAATATATATTTATATAATAAAATAAATATATATTTCTATTAAAAATGGTAGTAATATGACAACATAATTTATTTTTTTAAAACAAAACTAACACTGGTTATTATAAACATATTATCCTCTTGTTTTAATATACTTTGATTTGCAATACTAATAGAAAAAACTATTTTTTGGGGTATACTTGATATCATAGGACTTATTTACTTGACATTAAACATCTTAGTTTGTAGTCATGAAATACTAACATAAGTTTATAAATCATGAAAAATAATTTTTCTCTACTAACACTTCAAACCAAAATACTCAAACCAATAAAATGATCTTGCATTACTTAAGAACTAAGATGTTTAATGTCAAGTAAATAAGTAATATAATATCAAGTATATTCAAAAAATAGTTTTTTCTATTAGTATTTTAAATCAAAATACTTAAAACAATAGGATAATATGTTTATGTATGTATAATTACCAATATTAGTTTTGTTTTTTAAAAATAAATTGTGTTGTCATATTGTTACCATTTTAATAGAAATATATATTTATTTTATTATACAAATATATATTATAGATATAATTAAGCTAATCATGTGTTAAATATTTAAAAAAATCTAATAATTAAATTGACTGCGCTCAGTCCCCTAAACTTAATAAATTCTGCATATTCCTTCCTAGACTACACTTCCGCATATTCACACCTAAATAATTTATTTTCTGCATATTTTCCTCCCCCAAAACGCAATCTAACCAAAACGCGATTTTGTAAATTGATCGCAATTTTAATTTTTACTTGAATTTGGGGGAACAGAAAATAAATTGTTTGGATGAGAATAAACAGAAATCTTTAGTTTGGGAGAATTAAATAGACAACATATAGTTTGGAGGGGGCTGCAGCTAACCTATTTTTCTATGCTAAAGTATAGCCTATACTTGATACCTCTGGGCTCCGGTCTACTGGATTGATTTTAACTTGTCCATGCTATTTTGTGTGACAAACCACACCATAGATCCATCTTTGTCTCCTCCGATTACAAATTAATGGCTAAGAAGACCACAACTGAGACGCAAGTTTTAATTATGAATTTGGTTAAAATCCTGTAACATCAATAGTGTTTAAGGGTTTTTTCAGAACAAAATTTCAAGGTCAATGATGGCATTGACCTTGAACCTAACTGGAATCTCGATAGCTTTAGTCTCCGAGATTATTTTCTCTCAAAAGAGAATCCCAATTTTTCGTAAGATTATATCCAACCATTTTCTCCAACAAGCTTACGGTTACATATCTCACTTTCTGATTTCTGTTTTTGTTGTTTTCTTGTAGTCAACGATTTGAAAAAAAAAAAATCTATTTATTTTAGCTCAGTAACACCAAATTATCAAAGATGGAGGACAAATGAGTAAGCTCTCTTCTGTCTTTTTTGTTTAGTACATGGTGATCTTCCATTTTCTTGTTATACTTAAGAATCTAGAGGAACACAGTGTCAGGTTTGAAAAAGGCATATCAAAGAGTCATAACATTCAAAAAATCGATCGACGAGAAGTTTGAGAGTAATGAAAGCATATCTACAACGCTTAGACTCCAACATGAGACTCTATAGAGCCATTGTTCAAGATTTAAACTTAATCTTACAAACAGTTTAAGATCAAACTGCGAGGATTGTTTTCTTTCTAACATTATCTTACATTACACTTACCATACACTCTTTCCATTATTACTAGAGAAAGTTTACCTGAAACGTCTGAAACTGGAGTTTGGTCTAGTCAGTGAACTCGAACAGGGACCAGCTTGAGAGGTACTTTCTTGACGACCGTGAGAGCACCAGCTTCTTCTATATCGATGTCTCTCTGCGTCATCCCATCAGGTAGCTTCCAATCAAAGAAGTAAAGTAAGTTCAAGAGTCCCAATTCAACAGTAACGATCCCCATAGCCATCCCTGGACACATCCTTCGACCAGAGCCAAATGCTAAGAGCTCGAAATGTTGTCCTCTATAATCCACAGGGCTATCGACAAACCTCTCGGGGTTAAACACTTCCGGGTCTGTCCATAGTTTTGGATCTCGTGAGATCGCCCAAGTGTTGATCAAGATCCTTCTCTGAGGAGGAATATCATAGCCTTGAACCTTGATGTGAGCCATTGTTTCCCTTGGGAGCAGAAGAGGAACTGGAGGATGTAATCTGAATGTTTCCTTGATCACGAGGTTCAAGTAATGAACTTTGCCGATATCTTCTTCGGTGATTCTCTCCTTGTTGTTGCCAAGACGCTCACGGATTTGACCTTGAAGTTTCTTCATCAGTTCCGGGTTTCTTGCGAGTTCCGTCATCGCCCATATCATGGTGATAGCTCCTGTGTCTATCCCTGCGATGAATATATTCTAGCAAACACATGGAAACTAAGTTAAAATCAATCCGAATGTGAAATGTAATAAAACAAGTCTTGCTTTAATTACCGTGAGATAGCCCTTGATATGATCTATCGTGAGCTTCAAGGAATCATCTTTCCCCTGTTTTTGCATTACATCCAACATTAAGTCGACGATATCACTTTGATCTTTCGATCTTGCGGGGTTCAGATGATCATCGACCACACGTTGAAGCAGAGCATCGAGCTTGGAGAAAACATCGTTGAGCCTCTTGTGCTGTCCTGAAAACCAGTCAACGAACCTTCCAAGTCCTGCGATGGGGAAGAAATCAGAGCAAGTGAAACTAGCCTGAGCTGCCTCTGCTTCAAATATAAGCTCGTCGACTTTGTCTTTATCGATAAGCTTGCTCTCGTGGAAGCTCTGTCCGAAACCAACTCTAAACACGATACTCGCGGTTAGCCAGAAAAGGGTTTTGCTCATATCGACAGGAGATTGATCCACCGAGGATTTGGATAGTTGCTTGACCAGGAAGTAACACTCTTCCTCTCTGATATATCTAAAAGACTGAACTTTTTTCAAACAGAAAAGCTCACGCACCAAGAACTTACGCCGCTCTTTCCACTCTTCACTGTACGGAGTAAAGCCGATATCTTTAAAACCCCGAGAGATTAGCCTCGTTCCGACAAGCTTAGGCCTGCTACAACAGTCTAGGTCATTAGTTCTAAGCACTTCTTCAGCTGCTTCTTTCGATGAGATGACAGTTACAGGGACAAAACCGAAGTGAACAGCATAACATGTCCGGTTCTTTCGGCTAGACGATGGAGTGACCTGTGAGGCAAGTCTCCAACTTGGTGTAAGTTTCCGATGATCGGAAACTGTGGAGGGTTTGGAGGAAGATTCCATCTAGAGCGTTTGATCTTCTTGCCAACAAAGATCAACGAAGCAACCGTGATGAGAAAAAGACAGAGCAAAGAGATTGCCATTTTTTTTTTCTTGTGTTTTTTGGGTTATCCAGAAAATGAAATTGATATTTCTTTGTTATGGTAGTTTAATGGTTCAAAGCGGTAAGAAGAAAACAAATTTTAATTGGATTCAAGTGGAGTTTTATCTGCTTCATCTCATTCTAAAATAACTCTAGGAGATGGATTCTTTTATACCACATGATTTTTTTCCTTTTTAATCAACTTATAACTCTTATCTCTTTGCACAAATAAAATAATCAACTTATAACTCTTATCTCTTTGCACAAATAAAATAATCAACTTATAACTCTCTGGCTCTCTCCACACAGTCCACCGATTTTTACAACGTTTTTCTCTACTTTTTGGTTCATAAGCGGTTTGCATTTAAATAATCCTAAACTTTAATCCTTTTGTTATCAGACCAACAAATGTCATACGCAAACACAAAAGTACTATTCATATACTTATCTGCATAATGTCTTTATTCAAAACATCTTCAAAGTTTATGGATCAGTAAACTCGAACTGGAACAAGCTTTAGAGCTACTTTTTTGACAATTGTAAGAGTACCAGCTTCTTCCATGTCGATGTCTCTCTCTGTCATCCCATCAGGAAATCTCCAATCAAAGAAGTAAAGTAAGTTCAAGAGTCCCAACTCAACAGTAGCGATCCCCATCGGCATCCCTGGACATATCCTTCGACCAGACCCGAACGGTAAGAGCTCGTAATGTTGTCCTCTATAATCCACAGGGCTGTCGACAAACCTCTCCGGGTCAAACTCTTCCGGGTTCGTCCATAGTTTTGGATCTCTTCCTATCGCCCAAGCGTTCACCAAGATCCTTCTCTTGGGAGGAATATCATAGCCTTGAACTTTGATGTGAGCCATTGTTTCCCTTGGAAGTATAAGAGGAGCTGCAGGATGTAACCTGAATGTTTCTTTGATTACCATCTTCAAGAAAGGAACCTTGTCGACATCTTCTTCAGTGATTCTCTCCTTATTGTCACCAAGGCAGTTTCGGATCTCGCTTTGTACTTTCTTCATCAGTTTAGGGTTTTTAACGAGCTCCGTCATTGCCCATATCATAGTTATAGCCCCTGTGTCTATCCCTGCAAGAAAGATATTCTACCAACAAACCAATAATCTTAAGTTCAATTTGTTTAAAACTTTTGATTTCAAAATGAATGTGTTTTTAAAGAAGTCTTGATTTTACCGCAAGAAAACCCTTGATATGATCTATTGAGAGCTTTAACGAATCATCTTTGCCTTGTTTATGAATCACATCCAACATTGAATCGATGATGTCTTCGTGATCTTTTGATCTACCAGGATTCATATGATCATCGATCACATGTTGAAACAGAGCGTCGAGCTTGAGGAAAACATCGTTGAGCCTCTTGTGTTGTCCGGAGAGCCAGTCAACGAGCCATCCAAGTCCGGCGACGGGGAAGAAATCAGAGCAAGTGAAACTCGCTAGGGCTGTCTCTGCTTCGAACACGAGCTCTTCGATCTTTTCTTTATCAATAAACTTGCTCTCGTGGAAGTTCTGTCCCAAGGCAACTCTAAACAGGATACTCGCGGTTAGCCAGAAAAGGGATTTGCTCAAATTAACCGGAGATTGATTCACGGCGGATTCCGACAGTATTTTGACCAGAAAGTTACATTCTTCTTCCCTGATATGCCGGAAGGACTGAACCTTTTTCAGGCAGAAAAGCTCACGCACCGCGAACTTGCGCCGCTCCTTCCACTCATCACCGTATGGCGTAAAACCGATATCCTTGAAATCTCGAGAGAGTAGCCTCGTCCCGACAAGATTGGGCCTGCTGCAACAGTCTAGGTCATGAGTTCTAAGAACTTCTTCAGCTGCTTCTTTCGATGAGACTACAACCACAGGAACGAACCCAAAGCGAAGAAGCATCACAGGTCCGAATCTTTTGGAGAGACGTTGAAGTGACCTGTGAGGCAATTCTCCGATCTGGTGTAAGTTTCCGATAACCGGAAACTTGGGAGGGCTTGGAGGGAGATTCCATTTAGAGTGCTTAATTTTCTTGACGAGAAAGATTAACGAAACGAGCGTAATAAGGCAAAGACAGAGCAAAGAGATCGCCATATTTTTTGTTCTTGGTATCGAGAAAGTGAAAAATGATAATGCTCTGTTTTTTTCCCATTAAGCTCAATACTGACCAATCGCATTTCGCCATGTCACGGAAGAAACGCTGCTATCATCACCTCTGCACAAATATCCGATTCTACGCTTCAGTCTTGCCACTTTAACTTTTTAATTTTTTTTAATTTTTTTTAGAACCCTTCAAAAGTTATGTATTACTCAAGCACGCCCCCACTAAGAAGTTGCCAAGTTTCAAAATCTTAAATTATTTTTATATTATTTAATAACTTAAAAGACATAATAATTTCGTGTTTTTTTTTTAATTCTATATTCATTTTTTTTTTTTGTAAATGCAAATGCAAAACACAACAAAACCGAAAAAAAAAATTATTTCAGGTGAAGAAATGATTTATTTTGTAATATAATAATTTCCACAAGCAAGAATGATCTAGAGAAAGAGAGAAATTTGCTCTAGGTTTTAAGCAAATGCAAGGTAGGTTACGATGAACAAGAACACATGTCCCATCTAATTTTGAAGTTCCTAAGAAAAGTTTATTTAAAATTCCTCTAACCAAATATTTTTAATAATATATATAAGTGTGTCTATGAAGATTGAAAGAGATCTCTAAAATTTGGACGTTTATGATAATCTTCTGGATGAAAAGTTACAGACGCAACAATTTTATTAAAGAAAAAGGATACGATATCTATCTACATTATCTATATTGGTCCACATGTTTGATTGATCGATCAAGAGTTGCCGCCCAAAGGTCAAAACGGAACCTAATATTAGCTTTAAGAACTTAATATCGAAATATCGAATACGGTCATCGGTTTAGTAGAGAGAGACAACTTTGTTGCGGATAGTATTCTCAATCAGGCGAATGAGAAGGCTTTGTAACCTCATCTGTTTTCCTAATTAAGATCTGTTAAATCCTAACAGCTTTCGTTTAAAATCCCTTATCACCATTAATAAACTGAGTATCAGAAATAGTGTTGAAAATTACAAACCAAACCGAGACTAATCATAAAACAAGACTAAAGCTAAACCTAGAAAACGATTGGGAGAAACTTTTAAATTTAGGGTTTGTTCTTCCTTTGTTTAGATAACGACATTTGCTGTTTCGTTTAGAATTTTTTTGGAGGTGAGATTCGATTTCGAATAAATAATCGACAGCGAATTTACCATAGAGGACCATTTGTGGGTAATAATAAGTGGGTACACTTAGGGGTGAACATAAAAACTATAACCGAAAAAATCAAACCATATCGAACTGAATTAAACTTAAAAAATTCATTTGATCATCATTTTTTTATAGCTTTGGTTTATGTTTGATTTAGTTAAAAATCGTCAAACCAAAAGGTTTTTTCAGTTTTTAAACTAAATTTTAAATAATTTATATTTTCCTAGTTTTTTAATTTAGTTTAGGTATATATTTTATTATTGGGCTTAGTTATCTTTATAATTTACTAACATAACTCATAAATTTAAATTATAATATTTATAAAAAATATCTACATATAAATAATAAAATAAACTTTAATTTTTCAATAAAGAAAAACGTGATTAACTTTTTTTTTCATATTCAAGCCTTCTAGTTCTAGCTCCAAGGTTATAGGTATTAAATTTTAATCTAGATTTATTTATTGTTTTATAATTATTGATTATTAAAGAATTGATAATTTGTTTGTTTTTCTGTTTTAAAATCTGTTTTTATTGATGAATTTTTTATGATTTAGATTCTATTTTTTGGATTTATTGTTTTATTTCACTTATATCTATTATTATTATTTTCATTAGTTCGAAACAAAAACTTTCGCAATAGTATAATTCTAAAAAACCGAAGTCAGACCATATCAAACCGAACTGTAAAAAATTTAACCATACTAAACCAAAATATATATGATTTTTATATAGTTTGAATTTTCGTAAAACCGACAAACCTTTAAAAAATTATGAGTCAAGGGACACCAGACTTTGAGTTCCAGAAAATTTTATTTATAGAATAACGGAGGTAAATATTTCTCATTTCATTGTAATTTTAATTAAGAATGATAACATATAAAACTGTTCCTCGTAGTTTCGTGCGTCATAGAGGAAAATTATCCATAGTAAAAATGATACATGCCCATCTTGATATGTGTGTTGCTGAAAGAGCTGTATCATACATATATGATGCAAGTTGTTGAATCCGATCAATTGATTATTATTTTTAACAAGATTGGATCAAATACTTCTATAACAGACAGTCCAAAAATAAATCTTTTAAAAAAACCGTATTGAGTATATACGGATTTGAAATTATTCTTGAAAAGTTTTATTAAATATTAGCATGTGATCGAAAAAAATAGCCAAAAACGATAAATTAGCCAAACATTGAATAAGACGTGAACTCACTATTTTTAGAAGTTTAGGCCATTACCGCATAAAACGCCATTGAACTGGGCCAGACATTTACTAGTGTTGTTATCCGGAGTGATTTTACTCGACACAAAATAGTTTAAAATACACGCTAGGTGACGTCTAAAGAAAGAAACATTGCAAGTGTATATAATAAATCTGGTTTGACAAGTTGAATACGAATAAACCATATGGAAAAATATTTATTCATAAGTTAGTTAATCAGACATAAGTGTTATTACAAGATTTTAATGAACAAAAAGTGACATATAACCAGTGGCGGAGCTAGCTTATAATTAGGGGGGTCATTTGATTCATGTGAAAATTAGAAAAATAACTATACTTTTATTAAGTATTTTTAATTGACCCATGTCCAAGATAATTACTGACCCCTCTAGATTTTTAACTGATCTATGATCCAATAAATATTAGTGAATATTAGCCCAATAACCATCACAAATAATTTTAAAACAAAAAAAAACCCATTAATTAAGTAAGACTAAATATTTTTATCAATCAAACATAAAATAAAAAGTAAATATTTGTTTTCTCATAAGTATAATTCACGATATAGGCTATGTTTCCTCATTTATTGATGATATATTTTTAGGTGATTATATAGTTTGTTTTATTGAAAAACAAGTGTTTAACACATTAACAAACTAAATCATGACCATGATAAACCGATTCAAGAGATATGAGTAACTTATATATATGTGGTACATCTAAATCTAATGATAGTATATTATTTTTTCTAATAAAGTTTATATAGTTATATTAAAAAAAAATTAATTTTTTTGACCCCTGTAAATATTTTTTCTAGCTCCGCCACTGCATATAACTATTTTGATATACAAAACAATAAACGAACAATAGAATCAAACTTAAAACAGCCAAGCAAACGCTGTTAAGACGCACGGTACATTTACTCGACATAAAATAGTTTAAAATACACGCTAGGTGACGTCTAAAGAAAGAAACATTGTAAGTGTATATAATAAATCTGGTTCGACAAGTTGGATACGAATAAACCATATGGAAAAGAATTTATTCATAAGTTAGCTAATCAGACATAAGTGTTATATTAAGTATTACAAGATTTTAATAAACAAAAAGTGACATATAACTAATTTCATATACAAAACAATAAACGAACAATATAATCAAACTCAAAAGAGCCAAGCAAACGCTGTTAAGGCGCACGGTACTACGGTAGTGTTTTCAAAGCATGCATCAGCCAACAATAACATCCATAACTAATGAAGCAGTTGCATGAGTTCAAGTGGGACTTTCTTGGCGATTACGAAAGCCCCAGTTTCTTCCAATCAAACAAGTAAAAAACGTTAAACAGGCCAAGCTCCACGATGGTCATCCCCGTGGGCCGTGGCCATCGTGGGACAGATCCTACGGCCTTCACCGAATGGCAGCAACTCCAAATGCTTATCTTTGTAGACTTGTAGTCAATAGGGTTATCAATAAACCTCTCGGGGATCGAAACTCGTCAGGAACGTCCTACGTAATATGGTCTTTACGTTGACTATGTCAAAGGTCTTTCATGAGATTAAAAAAAGTTTAATTATGAAAGGAATCTGACAACGTACCTGTGGTCTGTTGATA